TAGACCTTGACATCTAAAGGCTAATGCGATGCAAATCATAGCTGCTTCATGAATCACCAAATCAAAAATGTTTTGGGTTGGAAAGGACCTTAAAGATCATCCAGTCCCACCCTTGACATGGGCAGGGACACCTTCCACCACCCCAGGTTGCTCCAAACCCTGTCCAACGTGGCCTTGAACACTTCCAGGGATCCAGGGGCAGCCACAGCTTCTCTGGGCACTCTGTGCCAGGGCCTCACCAGCCTCTGAGTAAAGAATGCGTTCCAAACATCTCACTGAAATCTCTCCCTTTTAGTTTAAAACTGTTCCCTTTATCCTAAAAGTATCTGTACATGTAAGGAAAAAAAAGCAGATGAGATCATGGCCACCAGCTATGGCACCAGTGGCACCAGCTATGCCAGGCACTGTTTGCACCCAGGTTAACACAATAAAAAGCAAATGTTATAATTCTGAATCCCACATATCAGATCACTTTAAGCTTCTTTTAATCCTGAACCTGGCAAGCCTATTTTGAACGGTCTTCATTGGATGACTCTTAAGTTAAGAACACTTGTGATGTCTCCATTGACTTTAAGTTTTTCTTAGAGGGGCTCTTTTCAATGCACAATAAGCAGCCAAAAGGAGACCGAGTCCCTGCAGGGATAAGGAAAAAAAAGAGCACCAGATCCTCTCCTTGCAGCCCTGCAGGTGTTTTGGGCACCAATGTGAAATGGAAAAACTCTTTGACTTCTGCTTTTTGTGCTCTGCCCCTTTTCAGTCTCCCACATCCTTGCCTCCGTGCCAGGCTTCGGCAGGGAAACATCATATTGATTGTGATGCAGGCAATTAAATGGTGTTAATGAAGTTCAAACAAGTGTTATCATAAGCTTGGCAGCATGGAGAGAAATGAAAGGTCAGCCACAGCCCTTTGTCATTTTTCAGTGTGGTGTTGAATGCTAATGAGACAGTCCCAATTAGAACAGGCTCCCCTTTGTATTGCTTGGGGATTGCATCAAATGCTCCCAAGTTCTCCAGATTTCCAGGCTCAAAGGGGACATTTGAAGTAAACTTGAAAAGATGCAGATCTGAAGCTGCTCTAATGTAAATTCAGCAGAGCCTATGGAGTTTTACTAACTGAAGTCAGATGAGATTCTGCTCTATCGCTACCATTCTTTTCCTCTTTTTTTTTTTTTTTTTCTTTTTTTTTTTTTTAATGATAATTGAAAAGCCTCCACTTTGTTTTAGAACTACAGCCCGACTCTTCGTGGCTTCAACAAAAGCCAAATAGCCTGTCCCAATTTCCTGGGTTAATTGTCCTGCCTCATCAGGCCTCGTGCTCTGCAGCAGGAAATCCAAGATGTGGCTGCACCGGGACACTTTTCAACCACGTGTTTCCAGCTCTGTGTGTCTCATTTGAACAGGGAACCTGCTTTTTCCCAGAAGCCAGAATTTCTCAGCTGGGTTGTTTCAGCAGGCAGAATCCACCTCTGCTTCCAACAATGTTATAAAAGGACTTTCATGAAATCACAGAATAGTTTGTGTTGGAAGGGACATTTAGAAGTCGTCTATTCCAGCCCCACTGCAATGAGCAGGGAGCATCTTCAACTAAATTTAAGTGATGCACAATTTTTTTGTTGCTGTTGTCGGCAAATCCATTATCTTGAATAATTACAGAAATGGGCACTAAAACAACCAACCTCTCAAAATGTCATGGAAGTTGTCCATTTCTTATATAGTTTTCCATTAAGTTGACAGGAAATTGCAAAAATTGGTAAATTTAAAAATATTTTAATTAGTCATTGTCATGCATCCCAATTCTGAAGGCAACTCTTGACTCATCACAAAGAAGTAACTGAAAACATGAGAAAGTCCTACACTAAACCATGAGCCAAACAAATAAAACCAGTGAAGATTACTGACAGTCCTTCTGTTGAAATCTTTTGGAATCCAATTTCCAGTTGACCACCCTGTGGAGGCAGACCAGTGGTAAGGCCAGAAGCTGGAACTATTCCCTTCCCAATGCACATTCCCAGGTGGAAAACAAATATTTGAAGGATTGGAGGGAAGTCCTTTCATCCCTGCCTCCTTCTCATGCCGAGGCCATTCCCTGCTCTGAGTTTGTGAGCCCTAAAGGCTCCACACCAAGAAAACAGAGATTTTAAAGGGATGGCTTGGAGTAACCCAGCTCAGTTCCACTTTCAGACCTCTAAATCCAGGCACGTTTTAATCCAGAGTGCCTCAAGTTGGGTACAATCTACCACTGACTAATTACCCTCTAAAGAGTTTCCTCTTTGTCAAAGAAGTTAGTTTGATTTCAGGTTCTTCTGATTTACTCAACCACTTCTTAAACTCCCTGACTTTTTCTCTCCTGACTCACTCTTTGAAGAAGTCTAGTGGTCTTGAAGGATGCCATCTCCAGCTGATGCTGACTACAGAAATGGCTCCAACCAGCACTGGAAGCCTTTGGATTTGGAAAAAATCCCTCAAAGCACAATCACAGAACGGAGAGAAGAAATTCATTACCTCGGGGTAGAACTCAAATTATATTTTATTCATCCCTGATAGGTTTTTTCTTTCATCTCCCACAGCATCCAGGTGCCACTGCCTTGAGTCAGTGGAACTGACACACAAAAATAAAAGCAGGGAAGAAGCTCTAACCATATTCCAAAACCTGCAGTCTCCCCTTGGGCTTCAGTTCAAGTTGTCAGACATCAGTGCAGATAACAACCCAGCACATGCTGGGGACAGGAATCCAGGGCTGTTTACAAGCAGCAGGAGGTGTTATGTACCTCGTTTGCAAACCCAGTTGTTTGGGAAAACTTCCAAGGAAATGCAGCACCTATTGCTGAAGATCACTGGGCACCAGGATTTAGCTCCAAAAAATTGTAAAGTGAAATCAATACTGGAAAAAAACCAAAATGGAAACCGCAGCCTTTTGTTTATCCAGAGGGAAAAAAGAAAAAAAAAAAAAAGGTGGTTTTTGCATAAGGAAATATCCTATTCTCCACTTAAATACCTCAGTTTGTCACTCAAATGTAGCATCTCCCAAGATAAAATCAACCACTCTGAGATGGAAAACATTATTTGTCCACAGAAGCCACCCAGAGTGTTGCTAAAGCACCATTAGAGAATGACACCTTTGGGTCATGTTGGTACAAACTTGATTTCTAAATGGAACCTCCAACACTTGCTTCCCATTATCCAGGTCAATCCAGCAATCAGCCTCAATACATACTAAGAAACTTGGACACGGTACCAAAAGTAGGTCATAATTAAGCAAGGTAGCTCATAAGAGCCTTGCAGGTTGCCTAGAAACGACATTTGCTGAAGTGTTTAACCACATCTAAAAATAATTGTCCAGACAAATCACAGACCAATGGGAGAATTGTTGGGAAAAAAGCTGCCTTGTGCTGAGTAGGGGATGGAGCTCTTTGATCAGCCACACTCCTGTCACAAAATGAGAAAAAATCATCCCCAGCAAATGCAATACAAGGATTTATAGCACAGCGTGAGGTGTCTGCAGCAGCAGAGGCCTTGTACAACCTGCAGGACATGGTATCAATTTTAGGCCATGCCTGGGAAGTCATCCAGAGGAAATCATTGCTGAAAGCTGGATGCAGAGCACAGGAATGATCTGTAGGATAAACCCTCCTTTGTATTTACAGAGCAGCAACCATTCCCCATCTGTGCAGTTCCCAAACCTGTCAATAACGCCAGGCAAGTGCAGAATGTTGGAAAGCAAAGCCCATCTCCTGCTGGATGAAGAACAGGATGTGCTGTTTGCTTGTCCTGGGGGAAACCCCACAGAAAATGAAGCCCAAACATGCTGCAGGAATAGATGTTTTTGTTGTATTCCCTGTGGAGCAGCTTTTCCAGGCAGTGACCCTTGGTACAGCAGATGGAAGTACAGCCACAGGTCTTGGGAGTGTGGACAAAATGTTTGGAAAGGCCTCTGACCTGATATAAAATATCTGCAGAGCTTCAGTCAGCTTCTGTCAATCCTCTGGCACACTCAAATCACTCAAAGCACAGGAGATCCTCCAAGGGAAGTTGCTGCGGGATAATTATAAATCCCTTGGGATCTGGGCAGTGTGGGGACTGTCACAACGGTGCTGAGAGCAGCAAATCACTTCAGGCCTGTGTGGAAAGACTGAGAAGCCCATACACTTCCCAGGGCTCGCACACATCACCTCCCCTTCCTTCCTTCCCCTGCCACTTCTCAAGAGTTTCTCCTCAAAGGAAACAATGATGGCAAACACCTTCAGCTCCCACCATTAACTGAATTTCCATCTCTGCTGCAAGGCACTGAGGGAATAAAAGGCTAACATGGAGATTTCCACTTAGCAAAAGTGAAAGACAAAAAAGCCCTCAGGGCAGTTTCCAAAAGCAACAGTGATGCTGCCTCCTACCTCCACCCACAAGCAGAGCCTGGTTGTGTCACTTTATGTCATTCTGGTGGAAACCTGGCTGCTGAGAATTCCCGACTTTCTGTGCTGCCAGGCACTGACCCCTGGGAAAACACTGCACTGACCTGAGGCCATGGAGAAGCTTCCAAAATGGAATGACAGCACTGGGATTGTGGGGGTGGAGTTTGGATAGAAGTGTAATATCACATGGTGGAAAAACTTAGAGCTTAAAGTTATAGAATAGAGTAATATTTATAAAGCAAAATGAAGGTTTTGGCTCTGTGGCTGGTCCTTCTTCTTCACCTCCTTCTCTTGGGTGGTATTTTGCAATTGGATAGAAAAATTTGCATTGCAGGGCACGGGTGATTACTTATTGGGTTAAAAGTGTCGTTTCTTAATTGGACAGTTTATCCTTAAAAGGCTTTGCAGAGATAGATACGAGGCCATTTTGTAGCTTATTAAAGTACTGTGAAACTCTGGTTTGTGAGACTGTAACATAGATAAGAATTTATAAACATCTGAGTTCGAATACAAAATGCTCACATTTAATCCTGACCCTGACCCAGGCTGAAAATGAAGATAAACAATCAACATCGTCCCATAGCTGAAACTCACCTTTCCACCCAGTTCTTGTAGCTGGGGATGTCCTTGGCGTAGAGGAGCTTGTTGGAGGGGGAGTCTTTGCCCAGCCGGTGCTCGGAGGTGGAACAGGAGTCCATGAAGGTCTGAGCCACCACGGACAGGCAGGCGTCCGTGATGCTGTTCTTGTGGATGTCGAAGACAAACTGTGGGTTCTTGATCATGTTAACCCAGAACCGCAAGGGGAGGCTGCAGGAGGGGTGACAGAGGGGACACAGTCAGGACACAGCTCACAGGAGACATCACAGCAGCAAATGGCGCGTGGGGATCAAAAATCGAGCTGTGGATGTGAAGGTTTTGGGATAAACCTTGCTATACAATGGATTTCCTCCCTACAAAGTCTAGAAATGGTAGAGACGTCACCTTTCATCCCTGTAATCCTTGCAAGGCAGATGTTTAGAGTCAATGCAACCTTGTTGAATATGAAAAATGCATATTTTATGATTGGCTTTTTGCAAATATTAAAATGAATATTATATGTGTAATGTTAGAAAGTTATGCTGTATTGATTCTCTTAAGCAATGTGTTAAATATAATTCTAGGTTATACCACAATGTTAAAATACAAACTATGTATACGGTTTGTTTTTTTTTTAAAGAAATGGGAAACTCGCTTTGAGAGAACAGTCACAGAACACCTAAATCTTCCAGAGAGAAGGAATTTATGGTTTTCTTATCAGAAGAAGCTAATTTCTTCAGGCCTTGCTCAGACTTGAAGATGCCATGGGGATTAAAAGAAGTAGCTGCCACATACCAGACAGAGTTTCTTGTTTTAAATAGAATGTACGCATAACCATGAAGTATGTATGAATATGCAACAGTGTATGGTTTTTAAGGGTTATTCCTTTGTTCCCAAAACATGTTTTTGGCAGCTCAGTGTCCAAAAATATCTGGACATCTGTAATTCTTTGCTTTTTATTGTCTTGTAATTATCCTAACTCTAAATTTTTATTACTCTACTTGTATTACTATTTTTATAACCATTTTATTATTATCAAACTTTTAAAAATTCTAAAAACAAGTCATTGGCGTTTTTCACATTGAAGGTGCCCATAAATTAATGGGAGTAAAATTTAGGTGATGACAAACACTCTGGATCTCTCTGTGTTAAGTTGCAATGGAAAGTTGACCCTGTCAGTTGCTCCATCAGATGAAGACAGGCATTGAACCCACAAAAATTACTATGGTATGGGTTATAAAGCACTGGAACAGGCTGCCCAGAGAAGTTGTGGCTACCCCTGGATCCCTGGAAATGTCCAAAAACAGCTTAGACAGGGCCTGCAGCAACTTGGGATAGTGGAAGGTGTCCCTGACATAGCAGGGGGTGGCACTGGATGAGTTTAAGGTCCCTTCCAACCCAAACCATTCTGGGATTCTACACATTTGTCATTGAAGGACTTGGCTTTTTAGCCCTCACAGCAACCCCACAGGAAGAGAGGTAGGTAGAGCTCCCAGGTGGAGATTGGGAATGCTCATGGCACACCCTGTAGAACATCATATCCTGTCACTCTCCACTGCTCCAGCCCAAGCCTTCACATGATCCCAGTACCCTGAGCAGGAAGCAGCTGCTACATGACAGGGAAAGCCCCCTTGCCTCAAGGAAAAAAAAAAAAAAAAAGGAACTGGGAAACAGCCTTTGATATGAAAATATATTTGCCCTAACCAAGGAAATGCTATTCCAGTTGCAATTCAAAGCTCTTTCCCCCCTTTTTCTCCAAAGAGCAGCTCATTTGTATGAGATGCCCTGAGGTACCTTGTATGAGATACCTCCAGCCTTTGCCTCAAGCCTTTTGTCAGGGCAGATGCACTGCAGTGATCATGGCCCAGGAGCTGGGATGTGTCACTGAGCACAGAGCCCAGCCCCTGTCTCTCTCTCAGGCAGATTGCTAAGTCTGCCTTCACTCCCTGCACCTTTCAGCTTGGCAAATTCTCCTGATATTCAGGATAAACTCCCCAGTTCCTCCCATTTGCTCATTGCATTCACAACGCTGTAAAAAACTCATCTCCAAGCCTGATTTTGGGTGATGCCGTGTTTTCCAAAACTTCTGTGTGTTCTCCTGAGCACCGAAATCACAGAACAAATGTAAGGAAAGCCGCACAAAGGGAATCTGGTCAGCCAAGCTCAGGAGAAGAGGGAGATGCTGGAAAACACAGAGTTATAGAGTGCTTGGACTGGGAAGAGACCTTAAAGACTATCCAGTTCTACACCCTTGGTGTAGGGACACCTTCCACTATCCCAGCTTGCTCCAAACCTCATCCAAGGTGGACTAGAACAGTCCAGGGATGGGACAGCCACAACTTTTCTGGACAGCCTGTCCCAGGGCCTCGGGGAAGAATAAGTAAAAAATGGCAATGAGACACAACGGAGTTGTGGGAATTTCATCTGGGAATGGAGAATCATCACTGGGGGGATGAGGTGGATGAGTGAACCTTGCAGAAGTCCTTCTGCAGGTGTTTGGATGGCACACACAGCCATGGTGAGGAGCAGAGTGTGTGTTTGTGTGCCTGGGTGTGGAGAGGGGAGAGGGGACGATGTCCCTGGCTGGGAATAATGAAGCCCTGTGATGTGACTTTGAGTTAATTTGATCTGATTGAGCAGATTTCTTCACACTGCCCCTTTTCCCACAAACACACACACTCTGCCTTCCCCCCTCCCCTCTTAAATAAACCTCCTGCTCATTTAGGCTGAGTGGCTGCAATCAGCCTTAGATTAGTGCCGCAGATAATGTTAATAATATGCTAATGTTTCATTAGTTGAAAGCCTCTTTGGTGCATGGGGTTTCTTTTTTTATGTCACCGGCGCTGTGACGATCTGCCAACTGCATGGCTGGGAAAAGGAAAAAATGCATGAGCTGGGAGCCCCACGGCTCTCCTCTGCTGCTCCTTTTATAGTCCCTGTGTTTGCACAGGAGAAGGGGAGGGAGCCATTCCCCAGGGAGCTCTTTCCAACCGGGAGACTCAGCAGAAAGGAGGTTTTGTTTTTCCAATGATACTGGCTTTTCCTGCTGTCCCACTGCAGGGATGAGGAGCTGGAGCAGGGGGCTGATGTCACTCTTTGCCACTGATGTCACACTTTGTTACTCACTCCAAAGAAGACTCACACCCACCTCCCGACTCTTGAAATACTTAGTACTTAGTTGGAGATGCTCTCCTGGCCTCCAGCTCCCACCCAGGAGGGTACAAGTCTCTTGTGGGGACTCCACATCCTCTGAGGATGTCTCAAATACCTTAAAATTCTCAGCTGGCCTGAGATATCTTTGTGTGGGCAAACAAATAGAGCTGGGAATAAGAACACCCAGTGCAGATGAAGCCAGTGGTGTTGAATCCTCTCCCATGCCTCCCTAGATATTCCTATGTGATCCTGGGCAGCAATTAAAAACTTCATTTTTCCCCATCAAATCCCTCACAAACCCTGCCATTTGCACATAATACAGGGCAAACTGGGACCTGTTCAGCAAAAGTGCTAATCCTTTAGAATTTGGGATCTTCTGACTTCTCCGTTGACTTGACAAGACTGAGCCTCATCCTTTGAGCTCCACACCAGGGTCCTCAGCTCCCCCAGCAGCCAGATCCCAAACACACTTCCCTCTACCCTCCTTCCAGCCCAGTAGCCCTGCTGGGCTGTGCTGGGCTCTGTCACTCACTCACCAGTTGCTCTTCCAGGTGTGCCGCACGTGGGGGTCGTGGATGTTGTGCTTGTCTGCCTGCTCATCCAGGAAATCAAACATGTACTTGATGGCCAGGGGGAGGGCACTGCCACGGTGGGCAGTGCTGAAGATGGTCTCAAAGAGGTCGTCCACGAATTTCTGGAGGGTGCCCTGGTGGGAGAAGGAAGGAAGAAAGGAAGAATATGAGGTAACAAGTGGGCAGAGGATGTTGAATTTTGGTGCCCCACTGAAAACAGGGCATGTCTGTGGATAAGCAGAGGTGTGATTGAAAAGTGGGGGCCATCTAATATCAGTTAAATGTGACATGACCTGGAATTTCAAGACTAATGTTTTTAAACAGGAACGTTTATCATCACAAGAACAATTACACCTCATTTTCACACAGATTCCTCTCTCTGCATCCCATCCTCAAGGCTTTAGTGCATCCATGAGACAAAACCCAGCCATTTTCCAGGCTGGCTTGCACCCAATCCTCTTTTAAACTGGGAAGAGAAGTCTGTAGAAGGCTGTAGAGCACAGCAGAAAGTGTCATGGAGACAAAAAAAGGAGAAGGGAACCTGAAGAGGTGGGTGGGTAATGTGTGACCAGTGTCCTAAATAACACCAACTTCATTCCAAAGAGGCCTCCTCATCTTTTATTCCTTACTAGGAGAATCCCAGATCCAGGGCTTGGAGAGTCACTCTTGTGAGGACAGTGGACTTTTAGCAGGGAGGAGAGGAGCTGGAATATCTGAGGGTCACCAGACTTGGAGAAGGGGACAGCTGAGGAGTTCTAGGCTGGGTTTGGGGTGGAACCAGGCAGGGCACGTTTTCTCTGTCACCAGAGCTTCACAGACATTTATATGTGGACAAACAGCTGCTAAAATAACTAAAAATCAATTGAATCTCCAACAAACATTCCTTGATATGAAAAATTTCCTTTCCTGCAAGATAAAACTCTGCCCTTTCTCCAAAGGCCTGGGGAAGAAATGTCTCCTTTCTAGAAATAAAACCTCGGGTTCCACCAGAGTGGCTCAAGTTTACCTACAGCTAACAAACACTTAATTAGAAAGCTGGTGTCTCTGGCTGATTCACCACTTGATTTATTCTTGGGGAAGCAAAAGAGAGGCACCTTTTGTTTGTATGAACTCCTTCGGGGTGAACAAAGCCCTGCAGCACAAGTCTGACTCAGAAAGGGCTCCGGAGGGGAAATCCTCTTGGTCTGACATGGAAGAGCTGCCCTCAGGTTCAGTTCCTGCAGGGAATTAGTTCTCTACATGTTCACCCCCACAAACACCTCTGAGGCTTTTAGGGAAGAGGCTCTTGGGCATCAGAGGTCAGGGATTTACCAGAATAAAAATCATTGTCAGTTTAACAAAGTATTCTTGGGGATTGTATTACAGCAACTGCTCTCTCTCTTTCCCTCCCTCCCTCAGTCACAATGAGAAAAGAAAATTGCTTGGCCCAAGAGGGGAAACAATAAAACCCCAACCTTGCTAACTCCTTCTGTTTCTGAGCAGGTTTTGCAGCTGCTTTCCTGTCATCTCCACAAAATAACCCAACAAACAAAAGCAGTTCAGTGGTGGGGTAGGGGCTGCATCCCCAGACAACGTAAATCAGCATCAGTCCAATGCTTGCTGGTCTACACCAGCTGGGGCCTGAGCCCTGGGGAGCAAGACTTCCCTTTTTCAACATTTTTCACACGTTGTGTGATCCATAAAAGCCTCCTGATGCCAGGGAATGGGGCATGGACCAGGGGCTAAAGACAAAGCTGCCTTTCCTCCAAATCCCTCTGCAGCTCAGCCAGCCTGAGTGAGGCTGCAGGGAGAGCCAGACATCAGAGGAAAAAATGAGCTGAGGAATAAATGAGCAGGTAAATCTGAAAAGTAGGACTTAAACTAGTGATGGAAATGGGTATGATGGGCAAACTCAGACAGCATTTGCATGAATGCATAGAATTGTGTTTGTGTCTATTAATACCCTGACAAAAAATGAAAAAGTTATGGATGTGTTCGGAGACTCAGGTCAGGATGTTCCTGCTCTGCCCCCACTTGATTTAATCTGTATTTTCTCTCTGTGCATGCTGAGTTTTCATGTCTCAATGTAAGGTCAATGTAGCTCTCTCCAAGTCATCGGCACAGAGTCTTTATTGGCTCAGGGAAAATGTGGAGGAGGATTTGTACCACACATCCCAGGATTTTGTGGTATTGGAGCCATTTCAGACTACAAGGCCTGACATATCTTTGGAACCTACTCTGAGCACCTGCCCTGGCTCTTCACTTGCTCAATTTTGGTACAAATTACAAACCAGTATAATCAAAAACTCCAGCACCTCCTGCTGTACTTTTTCCACCAATCTCATGGCCCTGGATTGTAACTCCTCCTTGCTTTTCCAGTGTCTCTTTTTGACTCTGCTTTCAAAACTCAATTTCCTCCCCCACCATGCTCAGAACTCTCCCTTTGCTCTATTTTCCTTCTGTTCTTCTCTTTTTACCCAACTCTGGCATCCTTTGAGTGGCCTCTCATTTCTTGCCGGCAAGAAATTCCACCGTACTCTCAAACCCCGCTGTCCCCAGCCTTCACCACATACCTTGGTGGCCAGTAACCTGGTCAGGTAGATCTCAGAAACCATCTTGCTGCCTCGGTCACCCTCTTTTTGGTCTCCATGCTCGTGGTTCTTGACCAGGTGCCACATCTTGACGCCGCTCTCCAGGTCAGGGGTGATCATGGGGGTGCGCGAGCGGAGGCTGTCGGGGCTGCCCGTGTAGCGGATCATGTTTTCTGTGGAGACACAGAACCAGGGGCCCCCTTTGTGTCTCAGCAGCTCTTGGGCTTGGGGTTTTCAGGAATTCTGCTGGTGACGTGCCACCAAATGCATTTTTCAAGGCATTGTCCGCGTGGTTGGCTCAGCAAAGGCAAGCGATGTCACCAAGCCAGGCGTGATGTCAATGTCTACACTACTAAATTTAGTGAGGTTCAAACACAGATTTCCAGCTGTCCATAATCTTTATCTCTTATCATGTTCCCTGGCAAGTGGCACTGTCAGTGCCAGAAACTTCTCAGGGCTGGTTCAGGGGGTAGCACAGGTTCCTTTTGGTAACCAGTTTCTTATGGGATTGGTTTTCCCATATTTTATCCATGCCAAGCCATGCTGCTTAACATAAAAATGTTGCTGTCTGTAATGTGATCGCTTATGTAGCTCCTCATCCCCAGATTTAGGAGTTGCCTTCCCTCCCTCCCTTGGCATCAAAGCAAACAATTCCTGCCCAGCCATCTTCCTTACTCCCTGCTCTAAAATCTTGTTTTGACAGAAATCAGCCAGACGCCCAGGTGGACATCCACAAATTTCCTCTCCAAGATTTCTTTTAGCCTCCAAATTTTACCTCTCTTTGCCTCTGAGTGAGGGCACAAGGCATTCCCCTCTCCCTGACCTTCCAGCAATGTTGCCTTTTCCAACCATAATTATCAGAAGTGTTGCACCTTTCTGTAGCAAGATCTGAATCAGCCTCATTAATGCATTACCAATCTCTACATATTAATTATCAGATGGAATATCCTTTTTCTCTCTGGATGCTGTTTTCTTAATTGCAATTAACAATCACTTTTTGACCCACCACATCTTCTACTCCCCCTGCCTCCTTCCCTATTCCCCCCTCCTAAAAAATCAAATGGCAAAAGAATTAAAGAAATCCAACAGAAATTAACCCCCCTCAAGTCTTCCTTTCCAAAGGTCACTGTGTCTTTCAGTAATTGCAACAACATGGCAAAGAGGATGAATATTAATAAGGCCTCATGGATCATTTATGTCCTTGGAGAAAGTGGAAGGGGGCACCTCTGGACATTGAGTAACTGCACTTTCCCTTAAGATAAAGAGAGTAAGGAGGATTGGAGATACTTCCATAAATTAAAAATATGAATAAAGTGATATGACAGCAGCATTCATGTTGGAGGGGGGTCTGCTGCACTCTGGTTGTGCATCAGGGGTGTTTTTCTTTGCTGTCCAGCATCACCTTAGTGAGGCACGGGCTGGATGCAGTTCTAGTGCAGGGAGGAAGGTGTGGAGGGGGTGAGTGATGCTCAGGAGGTTTGGCCCTGCAGAGGAGTTCCCGCCTGGTGTCCCTTCCACAGCTGTGTCACTCTCAGCTGCCTCATGGGGACAGTGGGAACAGCAGCCCACTGCTTTGAGCTCTGCTGATAAACACCTCAAACTCTAAGAGTGGCATTTGGTGATCTAAGAGGGAGGCAGTTAATTACACAGACTCTTCCTCTCATTAATGAAAGAAGAACTTCCCAAGAGCAACCCAGCCACTTGGATCAACAGTTTGAATGAGATGCCAGAGTTTTTAGATGGCTAAATCCTCCCCTCCTGCCTCATTTCACCAACTAATCATCTGCCCATCAGTTTCCCTGCTGGTGCTTAGAGTTTGATGACCACTGTGATGTTTGGGATCTCTTCCCAGTGCTCTCCCAGTCCATCCCAGCATACAGACCCTTACCATACTTGCTGGCTGACGTCCGGGACACCGTGGAGTTGTTGACTGCGTTGTAGGCAGTGACTTGCTTGGAGACCAAAGCTACCACAGATCCATCTGGGACCTGCATTAAAAAAAAGGATTGGGTCAATAAACTTCTGAAAAGTGGCTGAGGACCATGCCCAGGGCAGCATGAGCTGCAAATCGGTGTCTCTGTAGGCAGGGCACAGTTTGCCCTCAAAGCTTTGATTTCTCTCTTCATTGAGTTGGTCTAGTAATAAATAGGGACAAAATCTGATGTTACACATCCAGAATCCTGTGCTTAGACAAAGGGACAGCTGGGGACAAACAGATTCTGCTCCATCCAGGCCCTGATTCAAAGTCCAGTGACGACAATGTGAGTCACCGAGTCATTTAGGTTGGAAAAGGTCTTCAAGATCATGGAGTTCAACCATTAACTCACCCCCACTGTGTTCACCACCAAGCCATGTCCCTAAGGGCCACATCCAGAGGCCTTTTAAACACTTCCAGGGTTTTTTTTTGCATTAACCTCAGCAAATCTGACAATAGGTTCATCCCAGGGAAGCTCTTAGGCAGAGCAGGAGCATGAGAATAACAAAATCATCTGAGCTACTTCAAACAGGCTTGGCTGTCCCTTTAGGATGATAAAACCAATGTGAAATGTTCCATTCTTTCCTCCTGGACTGCAGGCAATATCTAGGTGCTTGGTTCAAAAATTCCTGTCTACAATTTTCCACTATGATCCTGTCAGCCTCTCACCCTCCCCTGTGACAAGGGCACTGCTGGGTTGAAGGGACAGCCACAACTTCTTTCTCTTTGTGGTGTCAGAGGGTCTAGGGTGTGGAAAAGCAGCAGGTTGGGAGTGGATGATATCCAGGATGTTGTGGGACAATGTTTTGAGGGACCACAGGACTTTTTTGAAGGAGCCAGACTTTCCATTTCTACAAGGCCCATCATGTGTGTCCCACATCAGAAATGTTAACAAGGCACGGCTCAAAAGAGCCATATCAGGAACATCTGTGATAAATAAGATCAGAAATGTTAACAAGGCACGGCTCAAAAGAGCCATATCAGGAACATCTGTGATAAATAAGATCAGAAATGTTAACAAGGCACGGCTCAAAAGAGCCATATCAGGAACATCTGTGATAAATAAGACATCATAAAGAGGAGATGGGTAAAAAAAACCCTTCTAACGACATCTAACTCTTGTCTGTGTAATAATAATAATAATAATTAGCACTTTCATCTTCAAAGCACTGCAGAGGCTAATTAAATAGCCCCTCAGCTATCACAGAAGGCAATTATTGGCTCTTTGTAGTTTTAGCTCCACACCACAGATGGGGAAACTGAGGCAAAGGCAATCTCAGTGTCTGTCCCAGCATGATCCGTGTCAGCCTTCAGGACAGGCAGGAAAATGATGTTTCCTGAGGACCTGGCCCAGCTCATCATACAGCTGGGAGCTCATTGCCTGAAGCAAAGAAAACATGGAAAAAGCACAGAGAGGGAAGAAAATTATGCCTGGTTTGTTGATGAAAAAAAGCAGGAAACGTCCTTGCTCTGTCTGGGGAAAAAAAAAAAATCAAAATCATCCAGCAATGCTTCAGTCAATCTGAAGGAAAAGTTTTGTTTCCTTTTCAAATTATTGCTTGCTGCCTCCTCAGCTCAGCACTTAAGTGACAAGAGAAAATAATCTTGTTATGAAACAGAGGTTGCTGAGGTGTGATGGAGGAAATGACAAAATCGTCAGCATCGGATTAAATTTAATGAGGTCTTTTTTGATGGTGGTTTTTTTCAAGAAGACTTTGACTAAAACTTCACTTTTTTCATTAAATCTACCACTTGTGTCAGACATTTTCAGACATCTCTAACCCTCTATTATGAATTTCCAGGTCACGCAGGGAAGAAGGGAAGCAGAGCAGGTCACCTGGACCAGGTTAAGGATCAAAAAGAAAAGATCCTTGTAATAACAACTCCACTGCTCCATGGTCTCCAGCCATGCTGTCTTCCACCTCCCTTTTCTAGTCACCAAGCCTCCCTCTTGCCATTTTTCTCTCTTCCACCCTTCTGAACTCTGCTGGCATTAAAAGACTGTGGATACATTGGAAAAAGGGGCATGGATTTGTTGTCTAGATGAGAAATGTTAACTCGTGCTGTCCTCATCTCCTCTTCACCACCTCCACTCACCAGGGGCGTCCTTTGAGAGGGAAAGAAGATTTTTTTTTGCTACCCTTGGCTTCCTCTCTTGCATTGTTCAGGATAACTGGGACCAGGACAGGAGGGATGGCTCAACATGGGGGTTCTGCCCAGTTACTGCCCACTCAACCATTCTTTACCTCTGCGTTTTAGCATAATAAAAATCACAGCATTATTAAGGTTGGAAAAGACCTTTAAGATCATCGAGCCAAACAGTTCACCCAGCACTGCCAAGGCCACCACTAACCCACGTCCCCAAGTGCCACATTCACAAGTTTTTGAGCTCTTCCAAGAGTACTGATTCCACCACTGTAGGAATGTGCCCTCTGTTGATGGAGTAAACAAGTTACTCTTTGTGTCCTTAAAAAGGACAAAAGCCTAGAAGTTTCTCTCCTCAATTTGGTTAAAAGACACCTCATAGGACCTTGGGGACTTCACTTCAAACTTAAGGATAGCTAACTAGATAGAAGCTAAAAAGGCCTGCCTAAGCAATTCACTAGAAAATAAGAGAACAAAAGAAGTAAATGGCTTTTGTGAGGTGTTTTAGCAGGAGCAAGAACCTCTTGCCCTGGCTCGGTTTTTATCTTTAAAGAGCTTATTTATTTTGCCTTTTATTAAAACTTTTTTGTTTTCAACACTATCACAAGAACCATCCTGCTACTTTTAGGCCACCTGAGGTAGCTGAGCTATCAAGGGTATGATGTTTGTCTGCGAGAGCTTACGAGACCTGGCTCAAATAGACAAAACATTACACCACTTCCCTGGGCAAGAGAATAATATTTTGCTTTTTGTTTTGCCACAAAGAAGACCTAACTCCTACCCACCCTCTCCCACAGATACCTGGTAGTGTGCCAGCGTGTTGAGTCTCTTCCAGTCATTCTCTATCTTGGTGGTGATGTCCTCATCCTGAAGGATCATCCTCGCCCCGCTCGCCTGCCGCCACTCTGCAAGGAGAAATAAATAAATAAATGAGACAGGTGTTGCCTTTTTCCCAAACGAAACTTGAGACAATTTTAGCAATATTTAGTTATAAAATTTTATATAAAATTTATATATTTTATATAAAATTTTGTATAAAAGCAGATCTTTATTTGAAGGCCTTCAGGAGCTGTTGTGGAAAGATGTCCACAAAAGTCTACCCCTCCCAGGGGTGAGTATGCTTTTATAGGTTTTAGGAAATTAGCATAATTGATAAAATTATAATAATTTATAATTATTTATAATAATTGATCAATTAGCATAATTGATAAAAAAGCACCAATTAGGAGGACAAGTGGTGATGCAATTCACCCCCAGGCCAAACCCCTTCTCTGGAGCCCCCCTTGGCACTGGCTGTGCTTTGTCCATGTCAATGTAACTCAAAGAGTTGTTCTCAGCCTTGGTTCCCAGGAAGAACCAAGATAGCACTGGGGCCCTGCACCTCCTGGGGCTTGGGGCTCTGGAATTTATTTTGTCTTTCTGCCTAAGGAAAGGCCATGGAAAATTACTGGGAAAACTAGCCACTAATACAATAGGCTACAGAGCTACCAATAGATGTGTGAATTTACAGAATTCACAGAATTACTGGGTTGAGAGAGACCTTCAAGAGCATTGAGTCCAGCCCAGCCCCAGCAGCTCAGCTCACCCAGTGCCACATCCAGGCTTTTCAAACACATCCAGGCCTGGTGACTCCACCACCTCCCCGGGCAGCCATCCCAGAGCTTCATCACCTTTCTGGAAAAGCTTTTTCCTGCTCTCCCACCTGAATTTCCCTGGGCACAGCTTGAGGCTGTGTGCTCTGGTTGTGTCAGGGCTGCCTGGAGACAGAGCCCCAGCCCAGTTGGGCACAGGCACCTTCCAGGAGCTGTGCAGAGTGATCAGTGAATAATACAGGGAACATAGAAAAAAAAAAAAAGGAAAAACCAAATGTCATCACAGGGACAGAGCCCTGGCCCTCCCTGTGCCCAGAATCCACACTTGTGTGGGCATATAATTCATCACCTCTGCAGCCTGATTATTCACAGTGCTTAACTCTTAATTTACTCACAGCTCTGCTCGTGCTCCAACACGGCTGTTCCCAAGACCAGCCTGCCATTGCCAGTGTTTGCCATTCCCGTGGGACATTGTTCCAGGGACAGAAATCCTGGTCCTCTCTCCTCTGGCAGCACAGAGCCTTCAGCAGTGCCTGAGATCCGTGTCCCTGCCAGGACCCAGGCCAGAGAGGGCTGCTGTGGGCACAGCAGAGTCTGGCTGGGCACAGGACCTGTGCTGGGCTCAGCTCATGCCCATTGGTGCTCCTAAAATGTTTTAGCATCTCAAATCCACTGATGGGCAGCAGGAAACCCTTGGGTACAAGCATAGTGATGTCCACACATTTTTGCTTTTTATATATTTTTCATCTGTTTGTAGCTCTTTAGACTACTATTCCATAGTTACATAGCTCCTAGGATTTTTCCTGACCTTTCTCTTAGATTTTAAAAAAATAAGCTAAGCTTCTAACACATTTCTGCAATACTATTTAGTCTTATTTTCAAGAAGAGGATCTACAAAAAGAATGTTTTGTTTTCCAGTCAGAACCTGAGAAGACACAACAAGAAATAGATCAAAGAAGCCCTGGATCAACTTCACTGGGGCAGAATCCAGGGGGAGAATTACCTAACCAACTGCTCTTCTAATTTATGTCAACCAATTTCTAATTTATGTTAACTAATTTATAAACCAATATTTGTTAGATATGATAATTTGATAAACTTATAAAACTTGCAGAAAGGCAATACTGGGTGTACCCAGGATCACTGGGACTCCTGGAAGCTTCCAGATAAAGGTCTGCTTTTTATTTTAGTATTTTAAGACCATTACAAGAGTTTTTCTCTTTTGATATTAGGCAACAAGAGCAGAGGCACAACTGGGGAGGAAATCCAACTTCTGTTCCATGGTGGATGTAAATTTTACAAGTTTTCAGCACCTGTGGGCAGAAGGACTCCTGTTTCTGCCACTTCTCCAACCTCTGTCCTGGAATTATGAATTCCTGCAGCATTGGAGCACCCCAAATTTCCCAGGGTGCCATTTTTTGCTCAAATCTTGAAGAACACTCCATAAAATGACAGAATCATTACGGTTAGAAAAGACTTCTAAGGTCCTGGAGTCTTGAGGAGGATTGCTACAGCTTTCCCCACAGAGGACTCACAACTTGCCTCAAGCAAGAAAAACATAAATATGACCAAAAGGAGAGAAATTCTTCCTGTGCCTTCATCAAGCTGGACCATTCAAAGCTCTCCTCTTGGCTGTCACATTTCAGTCACAGTGACCCAACCAAATACAGCTTAGCCAGAGTCACAGCAAAAAGTCCATTCATTTGCAGGAGTTAATTAAAATGAACTCTTGGATATGGAGACTTCACCTGCCACCCTTGCTTGTTTTTCCCAGTATAAAAATGCAAGGACCGTTGCAAATTTCTTTTGGTTTCAGCACTTTTCTTATCACATAATTAAAATGCAATGGGTAAAGCTGCACTTGCCTTTATTATTCATTTAAATTAGCACCAAGAGGTCAGCAACTGTGTTTATTGCTGGGTGTTACTTTGGCTGGAGATACTCAGGGTGAGCAGAGGTTGTGTTGGCTGAGCACTGAGCCTGAGCTGCCCTTCATCTCCTCCAGCTCCTCAGATCCTCACCTGCTGTGGAGGTTGTGTATGGAAGGGGTGAAAAACTTCTAGCTACTAGAGAATTGTACACACTCTTGTGAAAAACCAATGTTAAAGATGGAAGAAACTCGGGAACTTTCAGCAGATTACTCACAGGTGGTACAGGTACCACCTGTAAGTAAGGACAAGACCAAAGAGTAAACCTAACCATAAACAATAATTCTCATAACTGTGAGACTACCATCAAACAAGCCAAACAAATAAAACTCCTATAAAAAGTCCAAATATTAGTACAGAAAAGCCTGACAAATTAAATACATCACGCTACCCCAAACACACCAAAGCAAACACTGCGTACCCACAATAATAAAAAACAGCACTAAATAATTAGAGACCTACCCTACACCTCTTGCTATGGCCTGTAACACCATCTAAGGTCTTAGAAAACAAGCCTTTTAAAAACATAATACCCATAAAAAATGGAATCAAACAACAAAACTAATTTCAAAAGCAACCTTATCAACACCTAAACTAAGGACCATAGTGTACCACAACTACCATAGACCAAATACAAACAAAGCAAATACATACAATAAACTAATAAAAATCACTGCACTTACATCACCCTTGTGGAGTCAGAGGATGATGCTCTCTGCTCATTCCCACCTGGAACAGATCCCTGCCATCTAACTGGTCCCAGACACAGCTCAGAAGAGCAAAAAATGCTGAAGTTTGGGCTGTGATGGGAAATGGTTCTCTTAGAAAGTGCCCCACTCAAGGCCAAAGCCAGTTCTGCTGTCACAGATTGTTTCTTGTGTGAGCTCCTCACGGGGTCATGGGGACAGTGTCACTATGACCTGCCTCCTGTGGGACCCCAGGGCTTCCCTCTGGCAGGTCTGGGACCCTGGCAGGGGTCAGGAACGCCCCTGGACAGAGCCCCCAGAGACACTGTCTGTGATCTCTGTCCATGGAAAAGAGTTTTCAATCTTACAGGATGAATTACAAGCTCTGAGTGTTTGATATCAGTAATAATTAAGTGTGGCACAGGTGCAAAAGTAAAATTTTAGGATTCTAGATGAGGCGTACAAAGGGGACAAGATGGAGGAAATTGGGCGTGCCTTGTCCTTTTTCTCCTTCTTCATGCCCTCCATGTCTCACTGTGGTGTTGGCATTTTTCTGTTGGTTCAGGCTGGGGACACACTGTCCAACGTAGGTGACAGATATTGGCACGTTCTTGTAAATCCAGCCCAGGGAGTTTCTGGTATTGAATGTTAGTAACATCCCACTGAGGGCAGAGCCCCACACGCTGCCCTGCAGGACAGAGCTGGGCAGGGCAGCAGAACATGTGAGAGATCAACAGAATAAACAACCTGGAAACCAGCACAGACCAATTATGGCTTCTGCTTTGGCTGCGGGGCTGAAAGACAGAGACTTTCTACAATCTCAGAATCATCAATACCTCAGATTCCAACACCTCCTGCATGGCTCTGCATGTTCCTGTGATCCTTTCCTGCCCTGGCTCACCTTTGGAGAGACACACACTCATGTTTTGGGAGGGATGCTCAGGTTCTTGGTGTTGCACTGGGCTCTGAATTGAGGGTAGCACAGCTTTCCTCGTTCTGGGCTTTATCTGTATTCCAGGGCTGGACAAGGTGCTCAGAGCAGATTTCCCTCTGATCCAAGGACATCCTGAGATGTTTCCTCAAACCTTTTGTGCAGAGACTCAAGGGGATTGCTGAGCCATTTCCCTGGCCATCCTGCAGGGCTGTGTGAGGAAGAGTCAGGGCCAGCCTGGCTGCACAAGACAAGGAGGAGAAGCTTCAGGGCAGGCTTAGAGTCCCCAGTTTCAGTTTTGCAGCCTGGGTTCCCTGCCCAAACACACACTACTTCACCTCTGGTACGTCATTGAGCACCTGAGCAATGACAGGGAAAGGGCCCCCAGCTGTCCCCAACTCTTCCTGGCCTCACTGCTCCCCTTCTCCATGAGCTCAGGGGGTCACAAACAGACCTGCAAGGAAATGGGATGGGAAAAGGTGACCCTGCCATCCATCTTCACAGCATTAAGTGAACCCTGTCAGCTCTGTCCTCGCTGGCAGCCCCCTGACCCCTCTCTGCTCGGATCTGAGCACTCCTCGGAGCCAGCACAAAGGACAGACACACTCCAATCCAATTTGTTACACTTCCACCTTCCAGAGAGAGGGAGGAGAGGGGGAGGGAGGTAAAAATCCCATTAACTTTATCAAGCCTTCCAATCAGGAGTGGTGGTAAATGCAAACTCAGGAGACAGCTGCTGTGAAGCCTTTATATTTCATTCAGCAGATAGTGTATCTTTTTATTGCATGCAGGAATTACTTCTTTGCTTCTTTTCTCTCTCTCTCTCTTTTTTTTTTTTTCTTTTTTTTTTTCCAACTTGACTGGGGAAAAAGGAAATTCCAGGGGCCTTTGACAATGAGGTGCTCCCTTGAGCTGGAGCAAGGCCTGGCTAGGGAGTGATTCTGTGAGGACAGGGAAGATGGGGAGATGTCACCCTGCACCTCAAATCCTATAGAAAATGTTACACCTCCCTCGTGCCTTCCCTCTGATCCAGGTCTAGGAAGAGAGGAGAAACTCAGCTCTGTTCCTGGGGTGGAGGAAGGGATGGGAATAAAAGTTTATCTCAGAACATGGAGCTGAAAAATGACAGAGAAATATTTTATCCTGTATGGAGTGAATTATGGAATCACAGACTGATTTGAAAGGGATCTTGAAGATCAGCCAGTGTCTGACATGGGCAGGGACACCTTCCACTATTCCAGGGTGCTCCAAGCCCTATCCAACCTGGCCTTGGACACTTCCAGGGATCCAGGGGCAGCCACAGCTTCTCTGGGCACCCTGTGCCAGGAGCTCATCAGCTACAGACAAAATAATTTCTTTCTTAAAATCTAATCTAAAACTCCCTTTCTTTTAGTATTAAGCCATTTTCCCATGTCCTGACATCTCAGGCCCTTGCCCAAAGTCCCTCTCCAGCTCTCTTGGAGCCCCTTTAGGCTCTGGAAGTTGCTCTAAAGTCTCTCTGGAATCTCCTCTTCTCCAGGCTGGGCACCCCCAGCTCTCCCAACCTGACTTCAGGAGAGATAAATGCAAACTCTCTGTCTTACCCTATATATACAAAAGTTAGACCCAGTTGAAATGTTTCCAGTTTAAATGAACCCCACATCCCAGCACTGCAGGGCTGGTGGGGAAGTGAAATCTCACCTGACTCGGTCCACAATGAACCTGAGACAGCATCACTGACAGAAAGCCAAGCCAGCAGCTCCCTCCCTCCACCTCTGACCTCAGCACTGCCTTCCAAAAAAGCATCCAGAACCCAGGGAAGAGCAAACACCTTGGCATGAAGCCACATTCCTGCTTTGTGACCCTCACACCTGAATGTTTTCCCAAAGATGGGGTGTTTCATGTGTGGGAGAGATCTTTTAAAAATGATAATAACAAAAATCACCACCGTGGAAAGAAGTCTTTACTCAGAGGGCTGCAATTTGGGGGTTTGGACTAAAACCTAACCTCAGGGTGTCCAAAATAAAGGCTTTCAGCTGACAACCCCCTCCAGGAGTTGCCTGGGCAACTGCCAAACGTTGTGACATTTGCCACACACGCGAGTCCCTCTGCCTGCAGCTACCCTGCATTTAACAGCTCAAAACAACTCATTAGCTTGTTTGCTTTCTGCCATGTGAGCAATCTGGCCTGAGCGTGGACAGAAAGCCCAGAAAACGGTGATGGGGAGCAGGAAATGATGCTGCTGTTGGAAAGCCACAGGTTTCAAGGCCAGATTGCAGCCATCTGCTCTGCTCCAGCCCTGAGCTCAGGGCAGGCTGATCCTGAGAGCTTTGTGATGGTTCCTGAGGACCAGCAGTGCTTTCTGTGCTCCCCTTGCTGCCTTCAGGGTCCCTGAAGGATGCCAGGTGCCAACGAGCATCATTTCCTTGCGGAAAAGCTGGGATGGGCTGTGGCTGGGTGTGTGGAGGCTCTTGTTCCTATTTCACCCTCCTCTCACCTTGTTATCTGCATTGCTGCTATCTTCTACTGGGTTTTATTTATTTTTTAATTGTTTTTCCCCCACAGCTGCCTCATCAGTGCTCCTGGCCAGAGCTGCCCATTAGCCGGTCTGTTGTCACTGTGGCCAAGCTGGTTCTCTGAGGGGAGCACATGCTCATACCAACATTCTGGAACTTTCTGCTCCTCAGCACCACTTAGGAGGACATGGAATCATAGACTGGGTTGGGTGGGAAGGAATCTGAAAGTTCCAAGCCCTTTCTATGGACAGCTTCCACCAGAGCAGGTTGCTTCAAGCCCTGTCCAGTCTGGTCTTGAAGAGGTCAATATTTCTTAAAACAGCATCAATTCTGGATGGAGGATTGTCAGACCCCAGCTGGGACCCTGCACACACACACTTCTGGTTCCCAGAACTGCAGTGGAATCCAGTTAATCCCCGGGTTTACAATATGCAGGTAAAATTCCTGCATCTCATTATGGACACATCCTTCATCTTCACAGCAGAACGAACAATTCCCAGTCACACCCACGCTGAGATCTGCAGGAATTGGTCCCTGTGGCCAACACGGGGCACCAAACGGGCCAGGAGATGGGGCTGTGAACTCAATTCCTCTGCTGTGCTGTGCCCTGGCACCCTGCCCTGCTTTCCCTCATGCCCACCCCACCTCTCAGCACTCCCCTGCCGACTCACAGCAGCTCCAGAGCCATCGTGGCTCCTTTCTGGATGATGTACGTGATCTGTTCTTTACTGCTGCTGGTTTTGGCAGCTTCTTTCGTTATTCTAGCTGCCTTTGATGGGCAATTTCTGTCAGGAACTCCTCCTTCCCCTACACATACACACACTCAGACACTTAACTTCAATCCCTGACCTATCATTCCTGCCTTCATTATTGCTGTGAATCGTTTCTTGGCCTCGATCCATTCCTTCTCCTTTTGGTTCCTCTACAGCTCAGCTGTTTTTATAGACTCCATCATTTTCCAGCCCAGTCTCTTTCACTGAAGGTCACTGAGAGCAAATTCTGGCAGATTCAGCCACAATGGAGTCCCCAGCCCTCCACCAGACACCTCAGCAATGGCCTGAGTAGATTTTTCTATAATTTTTCACATCCTCCAGATTTTTCTACATTTTTTCATACTCTCCAGGTGTGGTACCACTCCTGCCTGTAGACTCCAAATTTAGACACCCACTCCTCCCACCATCCTCACTCCAGCTATCCTTTTTCCAGGGGTCTTTGGCAAGAGAACAAGAACAGTCCCACTCCTGCTTTTTCCAGACCCAAATCCAGGGACCTCATAAATCAGGAAAGCTGGACAGGACAGAACGCACATCCAACCAATATGGTTAATGCAGCGTTCTCCCTTAATTCGAGAGAAGATGGCAGTTTTTATAGACTTCTATATAGTTTACAGTTTACAAAGGCACTCTGATTGGCAAGCCAACATTGTTTAACTTTGCCTTAAGGTGGTCAGGCTTTTCCCACTGCAGCTCTACCCTAATTCACACTCGGATAGCTCATTACTTTATAGTTACCTTACCATAATTTCTAACTGCGCCACAACTGAATTCTCACTGCGTCAAAGGCTTCCAGGCCCCACCAAGGCCGTTCATCAGGGCCTGTCTGAGGGGCAGCTCAATGCTCACTCCAGACATAAATCCTGCCCTCTCTCTCTCAGAAATTCTGCAACACAGACCTTTGTCCAGGATGAATTCTGTGGGCAGAAAAGCACGGCAGTGCTCTTTTTAAGGCCAAAGATTTCCTAAGCCAGGAGCATAAACATCACCAAAATGTCCTCTCTGCCCTGCCACTGTGACTTCTCTGCCTTGCAGGGGGTGTGAAGAGGGGTCCCTGCCCCAGCAGAGTGTCTGGATGGAGTTTGTCCATCCCCCAGCTCCCCTCTCCCCCCCTGGCCAGGAGCGATCTCCTACCCAGGTCCATGTCAGCAGCTTTGGGCCGGTGGGAGCAGGGCACGTTCTTGAAGATGGCATCGAGGATCTTCTCCTTGACCTGGGTGATGGTGTCACAGTTGAGGATCTTCACCGGGATCTCGGGGCTGTTCACGTTGTCGGGGTTCACGCAGCTCAGCACCTGAGGGAGAGGCACCATACATTTCACAGGGCACTGGAACCCCCTGGCTGCCCCTCCTCGTGGGATCTGCATCCTACAAGAGGGGTCTAGGGTGCAAAAAAATGGGTACCAAGGGTGCTCCCACCCTCACATGGGCACAGAGATGTGGTTTCACCCGGGGGTGTCTTCATTGTATTTAACCATGGAGTCACAGAAGGGTTTGGGTTGGAAGATGCCTCAATGATCACCTCATTTCACCTCCTGCCATGGGCAGGGACATCTTCCACTATCCCAGGCTGCTCCAAGCTCCATCCAACCTGGCCTTGGACACTTCTGGGGATCCAGGGGCAGCCACAGCTGCTCTGAGCACCCTGTGCCAGGGCCTGCCCACCCTCACACTAAAGAATTTCAATTTCCTTCTTAACAACAGAAAACCCATGAATACCAGCTGAGGTTCTGGTGCTTTCAATAAAAAATACTCATTGAGATGTCAAGGTGACCTAATTCAGGAGTGGCCTCCTTGCCTTGCCACCTGGTTTTGATAATCCCAGTAAAAAGCTTTGCATTTGTCCATCTGCACAGCCATGGAACTGAGCAGACCCTTCTCAAAAGAATGCTATTAATCTGAAATGCAGGGCTTCTTAAGAAATTAAACACAAACCCACATCAACAACCTTTGCTTTCACATGCAGAAGAAGAAAATCAACCCAACTGGAGAGGCCTCTCTTTTCTCAGAAGGAAAATTTAATTTTCTCTGTTCTGTCCAGGAGTAAATGCAAAGCATGTGGTGTGGGGGGGATACCCTAAACACAGAGTATTTAACAGCAATCTCCCTGCTAACCCTTGGCTGTGTTTCTGTTGTTCATTCTGCTCATTTCTGGTTGCACAAGTGTGAAGTCTATAAAGTTTTATAAACTCAGCACACCTTTGCACTTGAAAGGGGTGTTCAGTGACGCTCCAGGCTGTACATGGTCATTAAATGTTCCTGTGGCACTTTTACAAGTACAGATAGGCTGGTTTTGATGCCTTAGACAAATTTTAATTTGACTTAAATTCCCTTCTGCAGCATACAAGAAGTGCTGGACTGTCCATCACTTTCCATCTTCACCTCCTAAAATGCAGTGGGAGCTCAAAAATGGGGTGAAATCCTGTCAGCCTAATTACACACTGCCTCACCAGGCTTTCTTTGGTGATGTTGTGCTCAGCCAAGAGGGACTTGTGAAGATATTGCTTACAAAGAGCTCTGTGATCTTGCTGGATGAAAGGGGAGATGTAAATAGGAGATATTGATTAGATCATAATGCTATTATTTGTGTGTCACTTCCAGAAGTATTGAAAAAGCATCAATTCAGGTCATAAGAACAGCACAGATTTACAGTTCTGGGGCATCTTTCATCTCAAAGGATCACAGAATTGTACACAAAACCATTGAAATTAGTCCAGTGTTGAAGGCTATTAATTGGTGTTGCCCACTGCAGCTCTCCTGGGTTATGCCCATTCCCAGCCCACAGAAACTTCTTCCCCTGAAAACTTCTTGGGTGCATCCAGAAAATCCCACCTGATTGCTGAGAGCCTGCACTGGTGTTTAGCTTATGGTTGGGCTTAATGATCTTAAAGATGTCTTCCAGCCTAAATTATTCCTGTAGGGAAATGGAGCAGTGCTGACAGCCTGGGACAGCTCTTTGGGGTCACAGCTGGTTCTGGGGACCAAGTTACTCTTCAGGTTTCTCTCTCCGTGGTCTGAGCTCAGCCAAAACAAGGTGGTGCCAGTCAGGGCAAGCTCTGTGGTGGGATAAATCTCTGATACAAACAGCTGGATTTTGGGTCAGTTCCACACAGATGGCACTTGGTGTTGTTTAAAATTATCTGAGCTGTCCTGCCAGGCCAGCATCTGGTGCAGAAGACCCCAAAATCTCCTGCAGGTGCTGACTGTGCCCCCAGACCAGTAGCCAGCAACCGTGGTTATTTGAGCTGGGTTTTCCTTGAATTTCACAGGGTGCCAAGGTGTCAGAAAAACTCTGCCTAAGTTAACCACACTCATTCACACCCTGACCACAGTAATCCTTGCTTCCCTCTGGAATCCAGGACATCCCTCTGGCTGCCCTGGATGGCTTGAGACCCTGGCAGGAGGCTCAGAGACCTTGGCATGAAGTCAAAAACACCTGTGGCTTCCATTTCAGCCTGTGGAAAACCTGCCAACTCTGTATGAGGAATTACAAGCCACAAGGGTTTGAGTAGTGTGATATTTGAATTAACACAGGGCAAAAAAGTAGAATTTTGGGGTTTTAGAATGAGGTTCAAGGGGAAAAGATGGAGGGATTTGGATGTGTCCTGACCTTCTCCTTCTCCTCCATATCTTGGTGTGATGGTGACACTTTTCTATTGGTTTTAGGTAGAGACACACTGTCTAACACAGATGATGGGTATTGGCACATTATTGCAAACATAATATATGCAGTTTTTAGTATAAAATATGAATACCGCCCTAGAGAGCAGACAGAATGCCATGGCCTCCTTGCTAGACAGAGCTCAGCAGGTCAGAGAAAGAATGTTACAGATAAGGAAAAATAAACAACCTTGAGAAGCTGATCCTATGCATTCAGACTCATTCTTTGGCTGCAAGGGCTGGGAAACGAGGACTTTTACACTCCTGGGGTCACCTCAACACCCAGACCCCAAGACTTCCCTCTTTTCCAGCTCAGCTGGCAGAAGGAGGAGGGAAGGCTCCTTCAAAGGGCTGTTCTGGTGTTCCAAGCACGGACGGGGCCATTGGTGACCCCTGAAAACCCCATAACACCTCTATGTTCATTACAACTTCTGTCAAGGGTCTCTCTCCAACATTTTAGAGAATTCAAACCCCAGTTATGGATGCCAACCCCATTCCCAGAGCACAGTGGCTTTGGCATATATTTCCCAGGCTTTGCATCATCTTTCCAGTGGAGTTTTCCAGCTGTTCTCATGTGGAGCAGGAGATTTTTCTCCATGGTCAAGCCAGAAACAAATCTAACAATCTTTGATGTCAGCTGGTGGGGAAGAGACCCCATGATGTCTTGTGCTCCTACAGGACTGGTCACTCTAAGGGAAGTTGGATCTCCCAAATGCAGTGCTGCTGCTCCATCACTCACCACCTTCACCTGGGCTTCAGGGTCACTCAAGGTTGTGACTATTTGGGCACTGAGAGGAACCCAGCACTGTTCTGTCACTCACTGAGCTCTGTGTCCCATCAGGATGTGGGGTCAGCATGGATGGGAATGGGAGTGGGAGCACATGGAAAAGTTATCTCCAGGCTCTGCTCTCCCACTGACTCTGTGTGGCCTTGGGAGATCTCATTTCTCTGGATTTGTGTTTATTGACCTTTTACTCCATCCTTGGGTAGATTTTTTTTTTTTTTTTTTTAATCTGCCAGCTCTTCCAGCCATGAGCTGTCTCTGAGTGTCTGCAGACATGCAAAGCTTGGCTCAGCTAAGCCCTGATTTCCACTACACATTAGTGGCATTTAAATAATAAAGGCACAGTTTGTGATTACTCTCACAGGTGACCTGGTTCTGAGTTTGTGTGGTTTTTTCCCCGACACCAGGACATCTCTGCAATTCCTGTCCCAGGACAGAAATCCTTCTCTCGCCTCTGTTTTAGGCTGGAAAAATTCATACAGTGAGGTTTAGTGGAGAAAAAGGAGAAAGGCCCCAAAAATGCCAAGCATAGGAATGCATTCTGAGAATTAATTGTAGAATGCTTTGGGTTGGAAGGGCCTGAAAGATGATCTAATTCCAAACCCCTGCCATGGTCAGGAACACCTTCCACCATCCCAGGCTGCTCCAAGCCCCATCCAGCCTGGCCTTGGACACTTCCAGGGATGGAGCAGCCACAGCTTCTCTGGGCACCCTATGCCAGGGCCTCCCCACCCTCTAAGGGTAGAATTTTTTTCTAATTTCCAATCTAAACCCATTATCTTTCAGTTTGAAGTCATTCCCTCTTGTCTTGTCACTCCAGGCCTCTGTAAATAATCTCTCTCCATTTTTCTGTTGGAATTCCCATATTACAACCATGGAATCAGCTCTGGCTTTATTTCATTACTCAATATTTTTAATAAAATATGTCAGGCAGCTCAAGGAAGGTAGAAGAAGGACAAAATAGAAATAAAGAGAAACAGAAATTAAGAACAGTCCTATTAATATTCTGCTCCTTCTTAATCTCCTTCACCAGAGCTGATCTCTGTAAATCTGCTGAGATTCCTATCGGGGTATATTTGTCTGCTCTTGAGATGTAAGAGGGAGAGCTGATTATCATCAAACAGCACAAAGCCAGCAGAGGAGAGCTTTGTTCAGCCTGATGTATAATTACTACCCTTTGCTGGCTGCTTTAGATCAAGCCTAAAAGGATCGGGGGGATTTCCTTCAGTGAAAGTGATCACTCTGTGGCTGCATTTTTTTCTCTTTTCTGCTCATTTTCTCCATGTGTGATCAGTCTTCTGAAATTTTAGACAGCCACACATAACAGCAGAGAAGCAGCACTCTGCCAGTTCAGTGGGAAAGTCACATTTTTAATATGCGGAATAAAAACATGGCCTTATTTAAGACTTAAGTCCACCCCCTCATCAGACTTGGATTCAATCAAAGCTCAGCTCTAGACTGGAGTTGAAGAACACAAAAGGGCATTTCTAGCACCAGCCTGCCTGGGCTAAAGTCTAAGACAGTTTAAGGTCTAAGACTTGGAACTAAATGATCCTTAGGGTCCCCTCCCAAACCATCCCATGATTCTGTGATTGGACACAGCCCTCAGAGGCATCTGGAGCTAAGTGAGATGAATGTCCCTCACTTGAAAGTGCAAATAAAATAATCTGATCAGTTTAGAGCATCTTCTGACTGTCCTAAAAGTTGGAATTTGCTGAGAATAAAGATGGAAAATAGAAAAATTACAAGGCTCATTGGAGGCTTAGAAAGTGTTCTTCATCCAGCAGAGACTTAGAGGCTAAGTGGATTTAATGCATCCAGGGAAGAATGAAGGCCCACAAACACACTAAGAGATATCTAATGCTCTTTAATTGATGCTCTTTAATCAAGTGGGAAGAGGGTGTAATCTCAGAAGAAGCTAAAGCTGCACATATGCAATGTGCATCTTGCCCCATGCAGACAATTCCATTTTGCGGGAAATGGCTCAGTGACAGGGATTAGTTTTCCTTCCCTTGAAATCTTTAAATCAAGTTCCTTTTTCTTTCTCAGGAGGGAGGGCTGCACCAGCTCTAGAGCTGACCTGATAGGTCCCTGCACTGTGCACCTCTAACTATTCCTTGGTGCCAAAATCCTCACTGGAGAAACGCTTTTTTAAATTTGCACAGTTATCCTTAGGCAGCATTACCATATGAAAACACAAGAATAAATCATCCCAGAGGGTCAATCACTGGTTCCTGCTCTCTAAATGCCATTTAGGCAGAAGATTCCAGACCAGCCCAGGGGAAGGTGTGCCCAGAGCACTCACCAGGGTCTTGTAGTCGATCTGCTGTCGGATGAGCTTGTCCTCGCTCAGGGAGTACCGGGCCTCCCCCGTGATGGAGTCAATGGGGCCCTTCTCCATCTGCTGCTTGATGGCACAGAAAAGGGAGAAGAGAGGCTCTCCAGCACACTCCTGCAGGGATGAGAGGTAACCACGAGGTGAAACAACAGGCTGGAGTTGAGAATACAGCCTGGACATCCCAGTGACTGCCTTGGCTCACCGTCCCAAAAATCACTCACGATGGATACATCATGATGGATGCATCAATGGGAACCAGTCTGTTCCAACAGCACAGGGTCAGAGGTGACCCTCAACTTCCACAGAGTGCAACCAGCCCGTGGGCACATGGTGAGACCCTTAGGGATGGTTCTGTGCAGACCCAGGAGTTTGACTTGATGGTACAATGCACTTGGGCACATGGTGGGACCCATGGGGACATGGTGGGACCCTTGGGGATGGTCCTGTGCAGCTCCAGGAGCTGGACTTGATGGTACGAAGCTCTTGGGCACATGGTGGGACCCTTGGGGATGGTCCTGTGCAGCACCAGCAGCTGGACTTGATGATCCTTGTGGGTCCCTTCCAGCTCAGCTTATTCTGTGACTCTGTGAGTGTCCTGTCATGGTGTCAGTGTTCCCTGGCAGTGCTGGGGCTGTTCAAGTGATTGCCACCAGGCCAGAGCTTTGCACTGGTGGAGCAGGTAGTGGGATGGGTCCCAGATGACCTGGAAGCAGGTTTTAAAGGGAGATGGATGGCTGGTGCCACATCATGGGTGTCTGGGCAGAGTCCAGAGGCTCCCTGAGCACTCTCATGCTGCAGGCAAACAGCAATTCTCAGGCCCAGGTGTGCCCCTGGACCTGTGTGGAGGTGACCGAAGTGTGGGTCCCAGCACAGGACAGCAAAAAGCAGCCCAGGCAGGCACAGCCAAGCTCATCTGTCCCTAATTTCTCCTCATCGTTTCCACTCACTCTTCCCACACTTTTCCTTCCTTCTGCACTCCCTCAGTGCCATGCACCCCGTGCTTCCTGCTCCTGCCTCCCTTCCCCTTCATCCCTCCCTTCTTCCTCCCCTCCTCGCCCTCTCCTCTAGTGTCCCAGCTCAACGAGCGAGGTCATTTTCCTCTGGTGTAAATCCCAGCGAAAACAAGTTAATAATCGGAGGCAAAGTGGCCCCTTTTTCAGTCCCTACACCTGTCTCCCACTTAATTAGCTTATCTGCCAGCAGCATATTGCTTCTGTGTGCCTGTCTCCTGCCCTTATCAGGCCTCTGCTCAGGCTAAGGCAAGAAGACAAGTAGCTGAGTGGGGTGAAAAAAGCCTATTATAAAAGCAGCTCTTTAGAGAGTCACCTCCTTATATCCTTTCCTTTCAGCTGAAAGCAGGGATCTGATACTGGAGTCACTGAAATTACCTTCCAGGGACCTTCAAAACTTTCCCATGTGCTCGTCCTTGAACTGGTCGTGCCTGGGGAAGGCTCAAGGGGATTGGGGTTTATTTGTAAAGCCTCAAATTGCCTGGCAGAGGTGGTTATTCTGTCCAAATGAGGATGTGAGGTAGGAGGATATTTAGCAGCTGCAGTGGGAGTGGGGGAGAGTTGCAGAGCTCAGCTCCTTCCAAAAAGGCTGGCTCTGAGCTTGGAAATTGTGATTCTTGAGGCTCAGTGTGGGTCCTGCAGGGGGAATTGGATCCCCCCGCAGTCAGTGGCAGGGCTCGAAGACTGAACGGCTTTTTCAACTACACAAACCCCAAGGAGACCTTCCAAGGAATGAAAGGGCCCAGGGGCTGCCTCAAATCCTTCCACTCAAGTTCTTTCAAACAGCTTTGCTGATGGATGCCCCTCCACTCTCGTGGGGCTGTGTCTCAGTACTGCCTCTGAGCTGGGGTGGAAGGAGATCTCCATCCACCGTGCACTGAAAATATGGGTCACCACATGATGGAGACCTCAGTCTGCTGTCAAAAGGACAGCATTCTCTGCACAGGTCTCAGTCAGGCTCTGAAATCCTTCCCATTTCCACACTAACCCTTAAACCCCACCTCTACAAGAGAGGGACCAACAAGTTGCCTCTCTAACAAAGTGTCCCTCTTTGTTCTCCCTGGGTCAGAGAATAGCCCATCTCCTATTAGGCAGTGACCTCCTTCCAGAGGCAAAAAAACAAAGCCTTTAACTTTCTATCTGAGAAGTTTTCACCCCAACTGATCCTCACCAAGAAGAAATGCTTTAAAGCAGCTGTTTTTCCAGGCATGCTCCACCTCTTACCTTGAGGAACTTGTAGAGGAGGAAGGTGAACCAGTTGGTGAGCATTTTTTCAGCCACAGACTCTGTCCTAAAGTGGAGAAGAAAGAGAATTGGAAATGAGTTAGTCATGCTGGTCCTATCAAAACACTGTCCATCTTCCTGCCCAGTGGGAAGTCTGGCATGGCACCATCAGGATTTAGCACATCCTAGGTTCCCTGTTTTAGTTCTGGATTTAGGAAACCTGCAGGAAAACCTTTGCTGCCCTGTTGATTCTCCTGTGCCTACAAGTCCCTGTGTATCTGTTTTTCAGTTTCTCCAACAACAAAAAGGAGTTGATGACATTTGAGGGAATCTTCTCCAAAGAGCTCAGGGCGGATAAATCCATCAAATCTGAGGCGCTCAGAGCGAGGCCATATGTCAAGGAGGCTGTATAAATACTCAGGAGAGACAGATCTAAGTCTCTGGGGAGCAGTTATCTGGCACTGCCTATCTCCCTGGCATTTGGGAGTGATTACACTCCTCAATGTGTCAATGTGGCACATACACAGAGCTCATCCTTCTGCCCTTGAGCACTCTGTCCTCAATCAAACAAAAATCCATCTAGAGGCTTCAGGGTGAGCTTCTCCTGCAGAAACCTGTGCTGGTTCCAGCACGTGCAGTGGAGAAAAAAAACAAGAGAAACCAAGAGAAACTTGGGGAAACCCAAGAAAAAAAAAGAGTCCCTGCCTGGAAGAATTAAAGTGGGTCCTCCTTGTCACGGCTATCACCAAAGCCATGCAGAGGTTCTTTCTTGTTGCTGCTGCTCTCTGCCCAGAAAATCTCTTTGGGGCCATAAATGTCATGTGGAATGAACGCTGGACACAGGTGAGGTGGGAAAATCACTTCTACCATCTCCTTTCTTCTGTCAAACTCCAAAACTGCAAAAGATTCCCTTTCACAGACTCATGGGGTGGAAGGGAAGCATCAAGTTGAATCCAGCTTCTCCAAAGAGCCATCTGAGGACCTCACACCAACATCTGACCCAAGGCACTGAGCTATTAACATGTTCTGTTCTGGTTCTGCTCATTGCAGGACGTTCTTCTCTGACTTCTCCTGGTGCTTCCAGGCTTTGGAACACAGGATGTGCCTTCTTTGTTCACTGGCCCTCCTTCCAAAGGCCACCATTAATTTCCAACAGAGAGGATTAGACTTAGAAAAGAGCTGGAGGGAGGAGAAAGAAAAAAGATGGGATGCTCAGAGTGAGCAACAAGGGAAGACAAAGAGATGGAGAAAGGGGAAGGAAAAGGAGGCGATGAAGAGGGGAGGCAGGGCCATCCAGCATCAGAGCAGAAGCACAGGCAGGATGCCTGGGGACAGCTGGAGGGTGGTCACCAGCTGGGCTGTAGGGCTTGATCACATCAGGGAATCAACTGACACCAAAGCAAAGTCCAGCCTCTGCCCCTGGCATTGCTGCCCTGAATGCCAGGGAGTGCCTTCTGCTCCTTCTCTGCTGCTTCTCCACTGTGGGCCATGTGCCAGATGAAGAAACTCCCCAGCCCAGCAGGCACCAGAGATTCCTCTGTGTCCAAGCTGTCCATTGCAATCAACTGGGGGCTCCTCAGAGTCAGCTCTGAGCTGTGGCAAAGGCCACTCATCTCCAGAAGATTCCCCCTGATTTTATTTGAACCAGGAGGGTTGGTGCAGCATGTGAAAGAGAGATGAATCTGGTCCTAAAGGGAGAAGAGGCAGCCCTTTCCTAGGCAAGGAAAGGACATTAATTACAGAGCAGGAGATTCCAAATTTGAGGTTTCCCACAGAACTGTGGAGTTTACACCTTAGACCAGGTCAAGAAGCATAAATACAAACTTGTTCCCTGTTTGAAACCAGTTCTGTTGTCTCTCTCTTCTGCTGATTTCCACTAACTCCCAGCTCTGGGAGAGAAATGAGATCCCACAATGCAGCTGAAGACTTTCCATGTGTCCATAGTTAACTCAGGAACAAGAGACAAAGCTGGAAAATCCATGTCCCAGGCAGGAGATGGAAGAAGTTGATTCCTCTCACCAGGGATTTAATAGACCATATATGTGATATTCCCATAGGTCCCACACAACATGATCGGAGTTTTCAGATTAAAAGGAAATGTAAGTATAAATTAACATCTTAAGCATGCAAAGAGCCTAGAATAAGAATCAAGATTTTTCTGTCCTTGTGAAACTTTCAGGAGGATCCACATGAAAATCCAGAGGTAGATTAGTTCTGCAATTTTTGATCATTGTCTACTTTTTGGTTATGGAGGAGATGGAGCAAGATCTACATTTCCAAAGATGAGTACGATGTTTATGTGGGTACTGTGGGAAATAGTAAAGGTTAAGAAGACTTCCAGAAAGCTTTAAAAGCAGGCCTTAGAAACAGAAAGAACAGAAAACGTAGAACTAGCTGCAGCTGCAAAGTCTGAAAGTAGAAAAAAGTTACAATAGTCCAGCAAGCGAGGACATGAAACAATAGCCTGAGTTTTAGCCTTGGCTAAGGTAGACCTTAAGACTGCAGAAAAATATGCTTAGCGAGATAGCAGAAGGTTTTAAGCATAATAATGAAGTATTGTGTATTATTATTAGAAAGCAGACAAGCAAGCATTGTATGAAGTAGGTGTATGTGTGCTTTTAGTAATTGACTAGAACAATTGCCTATGAGCTTTAGCAATTTGCTATTGGCTAGAAAGTTTTTCAAATGTCTGTAACAAATTTTCTTATGTTGGAAATGGGGGTACTCTATTCCTATCTGTCAGAGGTGGGGCAGTTCTCTGCTGTCCATGGGGCAGTTTTTTCTTTACATCTCCCACAGCCCATCCTCCCTCCAGGAGATCTCTGCTGTCCATGGCCACTGAGTGTCCCTGCATGGCTGAGAAAATTCCATCATCCATGGGGAGATGCTCTGCCCAGGGGAGGAGCCAAGCATTCCTACCTGGATCCAATCTGACCTGGGAACAGCACAGCAGCCTTTGCCCCCTGCATTCCCAGAGGAGCAGCTTCCTTCCCCCTGCATTCCCAGAGGAGCAGCTTCCTTCCCCCTGCATTCCCAGAGGAGCCCAGGCCCATCTCCCCCAGCCCTGGAGCTCCAGAGGAAAACTCCCCCCTTGTGCAGGATCCTGCTCCAGCAGAAGCACAGCTGGCACTGCAGGAGGGCTGAGCCCCCCTGGGATGGGGCTGAGCCACCTCCCTGACCCACAGGGGCTCAGGGCATTGCTGACCCTGGCACTGGGTTCTTTTTTGTACTATTACATTTGTATTTTTAATTTTCCTAGCAAAGAGCTGTTATTCCTATTCCCATATCTTTGCCTGAGAGCCCCTTAATTTCAAAATTAGAATTCAGAGGGAGGGGGTTTGTATTTTCCATTTCAGGGGAGGCTCCTGCCTTCCTTAGCAGACACCTGCCTTTTCAAACCAAGACACAAAGAAATCTTTGGCTGCTGCTGGTTGTACATCAGCTATTGCCATCTCCCAATTGTCTCAACAATGTAATGAGGCTGCAATAAAGCTCAAGGAACCATCCTGTTAATAAAAAACCCCAACAGAGAGACAGCCCTCCCAGCCCAGCTCATACCCAGGCATCCTTACCTACGGAGCAGCAGCTTGGGGTGGTTCTTGCTCTCCAGGTTTTTGTCGATGAGGTCGGCCAGGAGCTGTTTGAGGACGTCGGTGGCGTACTCCAGCTTGCTCTGCAGCACCGTCATGATCAGCGAGGCCACGTTGCCGCGGTCCCGCATGGAGAAGCTGCGCTGCGACTCCAGCGTGCGGATGAAGGACAACAGGAAAACCTTGTTGTTGATGAGCTGGGCAAAGAGCTTCAGGCCCTTCTCCACCCGTTCCTGCCGGTAGCCAGGGACCTGCACAAAAAGAAAGGGATTTTCTCCCTTTTCCTCATTTTCCCACTGCTGAATTGTCCTATCACTCTCTCTCTCTCTGCTCTCATCCCTCCAGCTCCTCAGCTAAGGAAAGACAGGAAGGGAATCCATACATCATCTAAAGATTAGGAAGCCTGAGAAGACTCCCAGGCACATCCAGATGATTTTTCCAGTCCTGTGTTCCTCTCTCTGGCCACAGAGAGAAACACAATTTTCCCAGGCATCGTTCTGGGAAAAGTTGTGAGAAGATCAAAGAATGAAAAACAATTCTTACCTTAACTTGCTGTACCTGGTATTGTGAACATGTAGAATGTGTTATGGAGTTTTGTTTGCCAAGGGTGGTTTCTTAATTAGCCAATGGTGATTCTGTTTTAATTAGAGGACAAATTAGGTCTACCTGTAGCCAATTAAGAGTATGAAAGTATGGGTTTCTTAATAAAGATTATTATGATTAGCCTTCTGAAATGCATGGAGTCCATGCTAATTATTACCCAGCCAGGCGCCCGCTTGCTTTGACATACACCCCAAAGAGATTTCTGGTGCCTAAATGTGTTGCCATGCCACGTTATATTTTCATTTTAGTAGACTGAAGTCTTATTCTGATTTCATCCAAAACTTCTTTCTCATTCCTGCAGGAAACCTGCTTGCAGAGGTTTGGGGTTCAGCTTTAGGGAGCTGGAAGAGGCGGGAAGAGGAAAGAAAGCCCAGGATGAGGTTTTGAGGAGATGAAGAGATGCAGTGAAGCACTGGCTGAGATGGTGACCATGGAACTGAGCCTTGGTTTGAAGAGTTAGGCAGGTGAAGCTGTGAGAGAACACCCTGAGCTCCAGAAGAACCTCTGGGTTTGGGAGCTGAGGTGTTTTGGAGACAGAGTGATTGATAAGTCTTGTATTTCTCAGCTGTGAGAGGCTGAAAAACTCATTTTTATATGGAACAATTTAGGACCTCAGTGTTGGACTCTGGGCTCCACAGAGATATTTTTGATCCTTCTGGCTCTAGGCAAAGACGGAACCTAAATAGAGAACCCCAAACTCATCCCTCTACTTGCTGAAGCTGTTCCAGCCCTTAAAAAGCTTTTCTGGAAGCTGGAGGGTCTCACCACAGAGCAACACATGTCACCGAGGCATATATGAATTAATAACCACCCAAATTTGGCACTTTGATACAAAATAAGTTGGCTTGCTTAAACAGCCAAGCAATGCAAGACCCCTTATAGAGTTGTTACTTTTTAATTCTGTAAATTAGAGTTCTGAACTCTTTGCATCCAACAAATAAATTACTTCCTAAATAGATTGAGGCAACCAACCAACCAACAAACCACCACCACCCATCCCGCCAATAATTATTTTTAACTCACTTGCTTGAACATTTAATATTGTCTATCCCAGGGTTATTATGGAGAATTAAAACAAAATAACAAGAAAAGTATTTTGTGCTGCATCTGGAAGCAGTTAATTAGCAAATGAACTGGAAATAAGTAAGACCTTCTCACTGTGGGATCTGTGCCGGGGCCTTTTGCAATAAATAGCAATTCCTTCTGGGTGCTACAGAGAAGGGAACAGAATGTGAGCTGCCTTCACGTTGGTAGCTAAAGATGCTGACACAGAGAGCTGGTGAAGCTTTACAAAGGATTAAGAAAAAAAAAAAAATGAATGGAATGAAAGGAAGAAGAGATCAAAGGTGTTGGATTGAAACATTAGCTCAGTGTGTGTCTACATAGGGGAGCATCCGTGCTAAGGCCTCTGCAGGGGTCAGATGCTGCTCTGTGATCAGCTGGATGGGGTTAATGAATGTAGGGATGGAAACTGGCTGTGAGGATAATGGAAGTGTTTGTGTGTGCACACGTGTGAGAGGGAGGTTCAGCACCCCTTGTTCCTCCTCGTTTGTTGGAGCTGCTCGTCCTGAAGGAAAACAGCTGGATGCCACTCAACCTGCACTCCAAATCTGTATGGTAGCTATGTGTAACTCAGCCTCCTACCCAGTCCCACAAGCCCTCCTTGATGACAGATCAAGTTTTTTAATGTCTCTCTTCACACAGTCGGATGAATTTTGGCTCTTCCGAGTGGCAGGACCGAAGCTGAGCAGGCATCTCTGATTACACAGCCAGCCAAGCATGGGCCTGCCTGTGCCAGCTCCTGCTCCTCCTTCCTGCCAACCAAGCCCAGTCCTGGCCTCCAGCAATCTCCCAGGCCCATGCCAGAGCCTCTCTGGAGCTCAGAGCCTGCCAAAGGCTTCGCAGACAGCTCAGCCAACACCTTGGCCATGGTGTGGCTCCTGATTCTCCAGCCCAGGTATTCCTAGAGCAGAACCTGTCCATCTGCCAGAGCCTAGAGCAGATTTTAGCCTGGCAGACTTCACCTGGGCTCCCATCAGGCTCCTGTCACCACTCAGGTGATACAGGCTCTGTGTAGACCCCAAGATTTGTGAACGACGTCTCACAAATCTCCATCCAGAGAGTCGGGGTGGAGGAGAAAGATGAGGGCAGGGTATGGACAGACTGACAATGACCTCACTGCAAACCAGAATGCAGCAAAGGTGAACCTCTCTCAGTGACAGGGAGTTATTTTTATAGGGGTTGCCACAAAGAAAACCTGGTCTCTTAGTAGTGTGAGGGTCATGCAAAGCTGGATGACACAGGCAAACATGCTCCTCTGTCATACAACAGGTTTTCCTTGCCCCTGCATGGCAGAAAATATTAAATCCAGTCTAAAACTCAAGCCACAGAAGAGTTAAGACCAAAGAGAAGCTTAATTGAGTAGGCCTAATGGATATGGATTTATGAGTCTTCCAAATAACTGAGTGATCAGGTAACAAGTCAGCAGGTAACAAGTGACAGGATGAGAGGAAACAGTCTTAAAGTTGTACCAGGGGAGGTTTAGACTGGAAATTAGGCAAAAAATTTCTTCATTGAAAGGATGATCAAATGGTGGAACAAAATGTCCAGGGGAGTTGTGAGATTACAATTCCTAGAAGGTTTCAAAAAGTGTGTGGATGTTGCACAAGGGGACATGATTTAGTGATGGAATTGGTAGTGTTGGGTTGATGATTGGAATTGATGGTCTTAGAGGTCTTTTCTAACCTAAATGATTTTATAATCTAATATTATCTGAGATAACAGCAAACATTTCCCCCTTCGACCCAGATTTTTAATTGAGGACCTGTTTCACCCCTTGCAAAGTCATCACATCCCCACCACTGACGCAGAATCTCTGGAGCTCAGGACTGAACAGGGAGGCATGAGAGGAGCTAGAAGCAGGAAATGTTGTTTTACCTCCAAATCCCTTAGGACTGGATGATCTTCAATGCCAGGGAAAAGCACTCTCATCGTGTAGGTTCGGTAGTCGAGGAAAGGGATCCCAGCTCCATCCAGGTCACTCGTCAGCTCATGGATATCTGTCTGCAGCTCTGCAAAGGCTGGCACAAAACCAGAACAACTCAGGGCGCAGTGAAAGTCCAGGTCAGCCTCACCAGAATAGGAAAAACCCCTGACCCTCATGAATGAGAATAAGGAATAAGGCAACATGTGGAGAGGAAGAAGGCGGATGAGAGCAAAGTCGCCTTTTCCACAGCACAGCCTTTCCCCGGGGACATGTGCCAAGGCTTTCTTTGGATTTTGAATTATCAAATCCAGTTAGGAGAGGGTGGAGAAGGTCTGAACTAAGGTGAAACGAGGACAAAAAAATCAAAACCCTACAATTCCTACAATTCCTTCCTAAAGATTTGTAGGGACGGTATGTTTATTACAGCGCTGGCCTCATGTGGGGGATTGTTCTCCTGTAAAGGACATGTGTGCTCCTGAGGAATTTTGATCTTTTTTATTACCCCTTAGTAGTTTACATATGCATAGAATTTTACAATAGGCTTATGCATATTCATTCTATTGATTTAGCTTTATACTTGTAGCTAGTTTTTTATCAGAAAGTACAGGAAGAACTTTTGGGTCACCCTGCTCTGCTTGCTTCAAGGTTTGAGGGATTTTTTTATCTCTTATCTCTTCAGCTTGGAAATTCACATTCTTTCTCTTCAGCTGGGGCAGTTTTACTAGTTGCAGAGTACTGTGGAGTTACTAGACTAAAACAGCATATTTTACTTATGTTAGCAAGCTCAAAGTTGCACATTTTACCTAAATATAAATGGATATCTACCCTGTTAGATTTTCACTCTGTTTCAAAGGGAAAACAGGGAAAGCCAGATTAGATCCAGGCTCGAGCCACACCCACGATGTTGAACCACCCAGGGTTCAACACCATGGTATTTCAGCTCAAAGCTTTGTGACCAGATGTCTCCCTTTTTCCAACACTGACACAGGGACATCCTGCCTTCCTCAGCTGTCCAAGATTGAAGACCAAGATGTTTCCTATCACCATCCAAGCAGGAGCTGCCTCTGGGCAGTTTTCCTTGTCTCCTGTTAATGGCCCATCAATGTCTTCCACATGGCTCAGAGATAACTCCAGGAGCCAGTTCTGTTCAGCAGGTGATCAAGGACACGCCTCAGACTCAGAATAACATCATCCCATTGTGAGATGCTCTGCCCAGGGGGAGGAGCCAGGCATTCCCACCTGGATAAATCCAGGGATTTCTAGACCCTTTCCACAGGTTTCCGAGGAGACACAGCAACCACATCTGCCATCCCAAGAGGACTGCAGCCACTCCAATTTGGACTGCTACCAGCGCACTGGCCAGAGGGGTGTCAGGTTGTTTTCTGACTTTGTCAGTGGTCTTCCTTTGTATCATTGCATGTATTTTGTCTTTTTCCCTTTTCCCAATAAATTGTATTTCTGACTTCGAGTCTCTCACTGGTTTTACTTTCAAACCAGAGCACTCAGCCTACCTTCCTTGCACTCCAGGGCCACCCTGGACTCCAGGTTGTCCATCTGCATCTGCAGGCGCTTGAGGGTGAGGTCGCTCTCCCGGGACTTGCGCTTGTACGCGATCAGCACGGCCACGATGAAGATGATGAGCAGCCCGCCGGCCACCGCGATGCTGACGATGGCTGGCAAGCTGAGAGGGCTGTCTGGGGAGATGTAGACCATGCCTGGAGAGAACTCCATCCCTCCTACACGAGCCTGGAGGGAAAACAGCAAAGAGATGCATTGAAACTCTCAGACGAGCAGGAGCGCAGAGGAGTTCTGTCATCATCCTGGCTGAGGGTGAATGGTGACATCCCCTTGTCTCCCAAGCCAAAAGAGGAGGTATTTGGAACAGCTTAAAAGCATTTGAAATGCCAGGCAGAATCACCTCTGTAGGCACTCACCATGAATCCAGCCACAAAACGACTTGTGGTAAAACAAGTCACCAGCCACAATTTCTCCATATCAGTTCCTGGATTTTTCATTCCCCAACCTGATGTGTTGTATGGGGCACTGATGTCACTCAGTCCCAAAATACACACAGAACACAGAGCTCAAGGTATGGTCTGATGGCTCCTAACCTCACAATGGGGCAGAGGATAGCTGACCCAGCGAGTACAGTGGGACTGCAGAAATCAGAGAGATAAAACTGTACTTGGAAGCCTCTGGGATAGTGAAAAACCACCACAAACCCACAAAGCCTGGCCCATTCTCTTTACAGCCCCTGTCTTAGCCACACATTGTCAGGGTGACTGCAGATGTGTACCAGTAAGAGTTGAACATAGCTTTTTGTTCTCCATGTACTCCCAGAGGTTCCCAGAGCTGCTTCCAGCCTCTGGAAGAAGCTGCTGTCAAAGGGCCTTGGTTTGAACAAGCAGGAAGAAACTCTGCGAGCACTCCTGCTGCAAACCCAACAAAATGTTCTGCTGAAGCAAGTCCCTTAGAGCCCTTCTTTACAACATGAACACCACTCCCAGCAGGAATCCCACAGGACACCGCTGGCTTCAGGCTACTACAAGGCTGTTCAAAGCTGTTTGTAGAGCAGGCAAAGCTTGAGTGGTGGGAGAAAAGCCCTGCTGACTGGCCTGAAGTATAAAAAGGCTTCTAGGGCTGTGTTGTGGTTTGGGACTGCTGGTTGTAGGTCAGCAGAAAGCTTGAAGGACGATGAGCCCATCACTTCACCCCAGCTGAGCTGTGTCACAGAGAGGCACAGCTGGCCCTGCAGCCTCTTGCTGCCAGGCAGAAATGCACTTAAGACCCCAGGAATGGCTGTTTCCTACTCCCAGTGTGGAATTAAACTGTTTTCTTCCTCCACCTTGAGGAGTTTCCCCTCACATTTCCTCATGTTTCTCCCCCACAACCCTGGCTGGTGTTCAGCCTTGTCCTGCATCCCACTGGCTCTCAGTTAATCTCCTGGACACTTACTAATCCCAGAGCTTCCCACATCTCAGCTCAGGCACCTACTCAGGTTTCCTCTCTAGGCTGCAGGAGGAAGAAACTGGCCCAGCTGGAGCCAGCAGAAGAGACTGCAGAGCAGAATCATGAATTAATGAATTTTCCCAGGTGCTCTCCACCCCAACCCTTCCTGGGGACATGAATCTCAGTGACTTTATCATCTCCCAGAAGTTATTGCAGTCCCAGTTGCAGCCTCGGGGAAGAAGGTTGTTTTGTTCTACCACCAGGTGTAGGCTGTTCCTCAGTGGCCAAAGAGACAAAACTACAACTTGTCATGGACAATACCAAAATGAATGTCTGAAAACTGCGAATTTCCATCCACAAGGCCCTCTCATGCCATTTTGGGATGGGGTCTGGAGAGATAAAGTGTCTGTGATAAAAAACAAAACTAATCCTAAACTCACCTGCTCAGTAATAGTTTCAAGATGACCAATTGCTACCATGACTTTGATGGCTTGTAAAGCATTTTCAGAGGCCAAGGAACCTCAGACACCCAGTTGGGATGCAGCAGTAATGAGTTTTCCCATCTATTTCAAGATGCAACATCCAGCTCACTTATAAATCCTGAGGTTTGTTGTTGGAATGTGACCTGCTCAACTGAGAAGACAAACTGCCAAAATCACATCTTAATCCATGCACTGGAAGTTGTTCCCTTTTGCCCTAGACCACTGTCCCAAAATTTTCTCACAACTCACATGCTTTCCTTCCTGTCAGTGGATCAATAAATAGCTTAATTCTTTTTCTTTCTCCAAGCTCTGCAGTCAGATGAGTCCATTCAAGGAATATGAGACTAGGCTCAAACAATTCCAATCCCAAATCCCAGAGCAGATACATCCTCAAAGCTGGAAGAACAGCTCATCTCCATGGGTGGGATTTCTCTCACCAAATATTCCGCGTGCACATCCGAGTTAGACACTGCAGCACGATTCCAGAGTCAACAAAGAGAAAAACCACTTTCAGGATGTGATTTATGTGAGCTGCTCCTGACACCTTTGACACTGGGACGAGGTGTTTCATTCAGTGGAAGTTCCCATTTCTCTCCATTAATGATAAGGGGATCTAAGCTCCAAAAAAGCAGGTGTTCAAAGTTAGGCCCAGCGTGTTCCCCTTCAAAGGTGGTTTCATCACTGGGAAGGTCTCTCAATCCACAAGTGAAGCTGCCATGATCTGAGGCAATTTGGCTCTTGAAGAAGAAAATCTATGAGACTGCTGTGTTATTGTTAGCTTTTAAAAGAAACAAGAAAATATGCATACACCACCCTATTTCACTTCTTAATCCACTGAGTGGTTCTGGAGGAAACTATTTTTAACTTCAATAAGACTGACTATGAACCCACCAAAGAACAACAATCTGGCCATTTTTAAAGACTATTAATCATGAATTTGTCCTAAATTACACTAAATATTCTAAATGGGCTCTGTCAGAGCCCAGTTTTCTCCAAAGAAGTCTTAGTGGCCGCCTGTAGGAGTTCAGGAGTTCTGAAGGAGTGTCTTTCCTGGTGCAAATTTGGCCAAATAAAATTATCCCTCTAAGGATGAGATGATTCACACCCTGACCTTCAGCTGCTGCATTTGACCATCTCTGTGTTCATTATAGAGAGTCTGGTGTACTTTCCAGGCTGTGTTAGAAACCAACAACCCTTCAGATGTATTCCACATCTTCCCTGCAGACCTTCTCTGGAGTAGTCACTCGTGGACCTTCCTCACATCTCCTTCTTTTCCTTGGAAAAACTTGCCTCTGAGTTTTATTCAGTCTTTTTAACCATCGTCCAGGCATTTTATTTCTTTGCTATTTTTTTCAAATACTTAACTCTGTCATTGTGTAAAAGACAGTTCAAAATCAGACAGCTCAAAAAAAGACAGATCAAAAGCATGTTGACATCAGCGTGTGTCATTGCCACTACTCCTTCCTTAGAAATAATCTCTGTGTTGCACCAGCTGACTCACTCCCATGGCTCCCTCTCAGCTTGTGCCATCTCATTTTGCAAATAAAGGGTTTGTTCAACAATTTCCTCAAGGTCAGAGAGTAAATCTTTGGCAAAATCAGGAGGAGGAACTTCCATCAGTTATCCTGGCCATCAAAGAGATGTTTTGATACCTTGAGAAGGCTGAGCTAGAGCAGAGGCTGGGCAGAGTTAAAGAATAAAGCAGGGATTTATTAAAGGATCTCCTCCATGGATCCACCTTGGGCAGCACCAGAGCCCAGCCAGGGCTGCACCCAAATGAACCAAAATGGCTCCAAAATGAACCCAAATGAACCAAAATGGCCCCAAAATGAACCCAAGATGAACCAAAATGGCCCCAAAATGCACAAGCGCTCCTGGGGGCTCTCCCTGGGATCAGTTCTGCTCCATTGGCACCTTGGAGTTCATTCCCAATTCCATCTTCAGCCCATCAGTCCCACCCTGCTTGTTTTTCTCTCTCCAGCCCACGGTGTTTGTGCTCCTGGGCTGAGGTTTGGATCATTTGTCCTTGGTGCCCAGCTGGAGCAGGAATTGTTTTGTGTCCCTGCTCTCTGCAGAGAGCTCACCATCACCAAATACGAAGCTCAGAACTACACACTTAAGCATCACAGAATGTCAAAAATATAAAAGCTAAAACCTAAGGTATCAGTTTATGTGAAACATGGTCCCAGCCTGAGCAGCAGAGATGCTGTGCCATGCCAGAGGAGGCATTTTCCAACCCTGGTTCCAGGTGCAAAGTCCATCCTTGAGAACCTCCATCATCTTCCCAGTTTCCCAGCAGTATCCCTCTTTAACCAGCATCCTCAAAAAGGGATTGTTTTTTCATCTTTGGGTTCACTTAAACTGTCCAAAGCTGCAGGAGCAGGGAAGTCTTCCCAATTAGTGCAGCCTGGCCAGATGTCCATCACCCTGGATCCCCAGGGGTTGATTATTGCTCACCTGGCTTTGAGTTTTGTCTCCCCAGGATTGGCTTTGTCCCTCTCTGACACTAACCATATGCTTAATCATATCCATGAAAATGACAGGGAACGATTATTGCCATGCTCAAAAGCTTTGCTTTTCACACAGAGAAAATCTCTCACTTCATTACTGCTCTTCTTGGAGAGTCTTAATGTGCTTTGCAATGAATTGAGAGACATGGTGTATTTGCATGGCTGGAGAGGATTATTGCCTCTATTTTCCAGATGACAAACTTTGGCACAGAGAAGTTAAGTAGCCACTACAAGGGATCCCAGCAGCAGCCACAAACAAGACCCAAAATGGTCATCATGAACTCTGCTTCCTAAAAGTTCCCAGAAAAATATTTTTAAAGATCAAAGTCTCTGAGTCTCCTTGCACTGAAATAAATAAATTAATATGATACAGCTTTGGGAGGTGCAACAGAAAGACAGTTGTTCACAAGGTATGAGAAACACTGATGTCAGTTGTCAGCTTTTGTTGTTCCCACCCACAGCTTGGTACAACTCCAGGGTCTTTGCTGATATGAGGTTTATCAAGCACCAGCATCAAGGAATTCAAATTATTGAAAGGAAAGTAAAAAAAGGAGTAAATAAATAAACGGTGAGAGGAGGAGCAGCTCCCTCAGATGTAATCACCAGGTCCACTCTTCACAGGTTCCAGGAAGGATTTGTAGGAGCACACTAAGTTTTATAGAAGTGAAAATTCTGAAGTCTACTCACACTATTGTCCACATCCTGCTTTTTTATTTTTTCCTCTCCTACATAAAGGCAAATTTTAGTCATCATCCTGTCAACAAAGTGGTGGGAACTGTGCTGAATTTAATAATTTTGTGTAGGAACATGTTACACGTGGTCTCACGTTAGAACCCAGGGTTCATACAGCCCATACAAAAACAGAAGAGAGGCAAACCCTCCTCTTGGGGTTTGATCATGAAAGGTGTCTCACTGTCCACAAAGACCTCCAGGTCACTTTTCTACTGTTGTACTTCTCAAAATTACCCTTGATGAGAATATTATACCAAAAAGGGGCTCTGATGTTTCTGGGAAGGAAAACAGTGATGCAAACCCCTTGGAGCCCTCTGCCAGCTCTTCAGCTCTGCTGTGCCCTCCCAGGCCACCCAGGGAGAAGGGGCTGAGGGTCAGGCATCACTTACCATCACCTTGTGCCTCCCAATGAGGTTTGGAGACTCACAGAGGAGCTGCACGTCTGACACAGTCACTGCACAGGGCTTCTCCCCCACCAGCACGGTGTAGTTCAGTCTGGCATTGCCTCCTGCCACCGGTGGGATCAGATTCCTGCCCTGCACATAGAGGAACATCACACTCCAGAATAACCAAATAAACGTAGGAAAGAGTTTTCTTTGCCCCTCTGGTTGATCCCTGGGATACAAGTGTTGATATTGCATTGGTGTGGATGGCTGATCCCTGACACTGCTCCAGGCCAGGCTGGATAGATGGGGATAGATGCTTCAGCGCGTCCAGAGGAGGCAATGAGGCTGGTGAGGGGCTTGGAGCACAAACCCTGTGAGGAATGTTTGAGGGAGTTGGGGCTGTTTAGCCTGGAGAAGAGGAGGCTCAGAGGTGACCTTATTGTTTTCTACAGCTTCCTGAAGGGAGGTTGCAGACAGCACCAGGCAGCACTGACAGAACAAGAGGACACAGCCTCAGCTACATCAGGGAAGGTTTAGGTTGGATATTAGGAAAAAATTTTTCACTGAAAGAATAATAAAATACTGGAATTGTCTTCCTAGGGAGGTGGTGGAATCACCATCTCTGGTTGTGTTTAAAAAAAGACTGGACTTGGCACTTGGTGCTATAGTCTAGTTGTGGTGTTAGGGCATAGGTTGGATTTGATGATCTTAGAGGTCTCTTCCAACCTCATTATTCTGGGATTCTGGGATTCTGGGGTTCTGTGATTCTATGGGGCTTGGAGCAGCCTGGTCTAGTGGAAAGTGTCCCTGCCCATGGCAGGGGGTTGGAATGAGATGGCCTTTAAGGTCCTTTCCAAGCTAAATATGAATCTATTATGACATTTGTAGTTCGCCATTTGCTCACACAGAGAGGAAAAGCCAATTTAGAAACTCACACAGAGAACAGCGTGAGTGGTCACAGACTCAGAGCAGTCACAAGGGCCTGTCCTGCTCCTCCCTCTCTGCAGCTGAGTGGGAAATGTTCCATCTAAGCCCTGCACAATAAAGCCCTTACTAAACACAGCCAGGAAAGTAAGTCAGACTCCTTTCCAAACATGCAAAAAGCATCTGCAGGTAAAATAACTTTTTTGCATATTCACATGTAAAAATACCAATACAGAAATGCTGTATTATAAAATTCCTTCTCTGTATTGCTCTGACATTTACAGAAATGGCAAAAGACTGGTTTGGGCTAAAACAGGGGTGAGAGGAAGGTCTTGAATGTACAAGAAAGGAAATAGTTGGATATTTCACTGTCAGCCACATTGCAAAGGTAGAAGATGTTTTCTGGTGAACAGCAGTGGGTACAAACTTAGGCTGCACACAGGAGTTTATAATTCTTAGTTATGGGTGTGGGCAGTGCTTGGTGTTTGCTGATGGTGACTCTGATATGGTTCCAGAAGGGGCAAGGAATGGAGGAAATTTTTGGGGTGCCATCAGGATGATTTAAGGGGGTGCTGGCAGGCACAGAGAGGCAGGAGGCAGAATTTCAGTCCAGTCCTTGGTCCCCATCTCACCTTCAGGATGATGGGACTTCCAGGCTTCAGCTCCAGGATCCCTGAGGGATTGAAAACCTCGAAGATGGGGTTGGGGTAGTAGGTGAAGTTGGTTTTGTTGAGGATCAGCAGGGACTGCACATTGTCAAGGATGAAACCAAACTCCTCCGGGCGCTCAGCGAGCTCAGACTGGTGATTGGGGTCCACAGCCAGAGCTGGGGCCTGGCAGGTCATCTCTGTGCTGTTCTGCACCTCACAGTTCTGGGGAAAGAGACCCAAAACAAGGAGTATTTATGGAAATAGGGACCCTGGTAGGTCATCTCTGTGCTGTTCTGCACCTCACAGTTCTGGGGAAAGAGACCCAAAACAAGGAGTATTTATGGAAAAAGAGACCCTGGCAGGTCATCCACAAGTGAAGCTGCCATGATCTGAGGGACTCAGGCTCTTGAAGAAGAAAATCTATGAGACTGCAGTGTTATTGTGAACTTTTAAAAGAAATACAAGAAAATATGCACAACCCTACTTTACTCCTTAATCCACTGATTGGTTCTGGAGGAAGCTATATTTGACTTCCAAAAGACGGACCGTGAACTCACGAAAGAACAACAAGGCTGTTCTGCACCTCACAGTCCTGGGGAAAGAGACCCAAACCAAGGAGTGTTTATGGGAAATGCACCCACCCTTCCTGATGGCTCTCAGGGAGAGGGAGGAGCAGACCCCCACGGTTATCCTGGGACAGGCTGGTGCTCCACTGCTTCCAAACATTCCCCATCCCACAATCAAGGCTGGGCAGGGATGAGGAAAGCCTTGCTGGGGCAGGTGTGTGGAGCAGTTTGCACTTCAGCAGGGCCTCCTGTGCCTCATGAGAGAGCTCAGCCTCTGTTGCCAGTGTCAGCATCCTTCCCTAACTTTGTTTCTTTCCAGAAACAGAAGTTTCTTCCCTCATTTTTTGCACAGCACACATCAGTCAAAACCTTGCTACCACCTCGCAATTGGGTCTCACACTCAGGTCATTTTTCCAGAAGTGTTTGTGCAGTGCATGCTCAGATGTGTGCTCAGGATTCCAGTTTGGATATCAGGTTACCTGAAATGAATCCCAGCAAGCTGGAGAAGCAAACACAAAGGTGAATGTCTCAGAAGACCCTGAAGTTTGGTTCCAGCCCTGCCAAAAACCTTCTTTTTTGTGTGTGTCCTTCAGGGATGAGATAATATTTCTGGAAACAAATCATGCCCTCTTTTTTTGGGCTGCAATAGGAGATTTCAAGCTCCAGAGGTGTCAGCCAGCCCCTGTCCCCACCGTGGCACCGTCCCCTCCCCAGCTCTGTGGCTGTACTCACATTGACATGCTCCTTTCCTCCGTGCTTTGCCCGGATCTGAGGGTTTTGGATGAGGTCCAGGTGAGTTCCCCACACAGCAATGGGAGTGTTGCCACTGGAGAATAAGAAATGGAATTAAAGAATGAACCCAGCTAATAGATGTCAGAGCTCACCACATCAGGGGTGGGTGATCTGTGTTCCTAAATGTTGGTTGCAAAGTGTCTGACCACGTCTGGCGGTCCCGTAGAGAGGGAAGGAAGAACAAAACAAATAATATTCCACTCATTCATAAGGGGAGAAATAAGTAAAGACAAATGCTTGCTAAAACTGCCATGTCAGGCAGGGTGGTTCTCACTGTCAGGATTCAGCAATCACAAGAAGAACAGTGGAGATTTAACACAAGGCATTTAAAATGGTCCACAGGCTGTATCTACTATATCACCTCAATCAGCCAGAGAATTATAAAAGATCCTGAACTGGAACTCACAAGGATCATCCAGTCCAACTCCTGGTCCTGCACAGACACCCCAGCAACCGCACCCTGGGCATCCCTGGGAGTGGTGTCCAAACACTCCTGAAGCTGTGGCAGCCTTGGGAATGTGCCCATTCCCTGGGGAGCTGTTCCAGTACCCAACCCAAAAACATGGGAACAGCTCTTGAGCATTCTGGGTTGAGGGCTACAGCCCCATATCTAAGCTGCTATCAAACCTCATCCTGAGCATGACAATGTCACATCAGTGAACTCTTTGGTGCCACCAGGGAACCCAATCCTGCAGCAATTAGAAGAAATTGAGCCAAAGTCTTCAGCTTTGGTGTGCATCAGGCACTGGCTTGGTGTGGGAATCCAGGGCTTGCCTCTGGCTGCCGTGGCAGGCCTGGGACCCTGGCAGGGGTCAGGAACCCCCTGGACAGAGCCCCCAGAGACACTGTCTGTGATCTCTGTCCATGGAAAAGAGTTTTCAATCTTACAGGATGAATTACAAGCTCTGAGTGTTTGATATAAGTAATAATTAAGTGTGGCATGGGTGCAAAAGTAAAATTTTAGGATTCTAGATGAGGGGTCCAAAGGGGACAAGCTGGAGGAAATTGGGTGTGCCTTGTCCTTTTTCTCCTTCTTCATGCCCTCCACGTTTCACTGTGGTGTTGGCATTTTTCTGTTGGTTCAGGCTGGGGACACACTGTCCAACGTAGGTGACAGATATTGGCACGTTCTTGTAAATCCAGCCCAGGGAGTTTCTGGTATTGAATGTTTGTCACATCCCACTGAGGGCAGAGCCCCACACGCTGCCCTGCAGGACAGAGCTGGGCAGGGCAGCAGAACATGTGAGAGATAAACAGAATAAACAACCTGGAAACCAGCACAGACCAATTATGGCTTCTGCTTTGGCAGTGGGGCTGACAGACAGAGACTTTCTACAATCTCAGAATCATCAATAGATTCTGAAAGCTTGGTTTCCATGTGGTGGCCCAACACGAAGAGAGATTCCCAGTCTCTGTTTCCCCCTTGCTCAAAGGCCAATTTCCTGAGAAAACCAACTCCCACAAGCCACAGCCCACAGGCATCTGCTGGATTTTCTCACTTTTATGGGGAGATGTAGCTGGAGCCCCCCTCACTCCCTGCAGACACTGTCACCACGAGGAAGCAGCTCTCAGAAACACCCTTCTCTCCTTTCCCCTGCCTCTTCCAGCTGCAGCCAGCAACTGTGGGACTTCAGGGAATGGATGGGGAGGAGGAAGGAAACACCAAAGGACCATCCCCAGGCTTCACAGGGCTGGCTCTGAGCACCACATTAAGGAGAAAGGCTCACCACAGGCAGCTTTGGCCATCCCAAATTAAAGCAGCTCTGATCTGTCAGGGTGAGCTCTGCTGTTACAGCATGAAGTGGGGGCAGATGATCCAGGGGTGAAAGGAGAAGTTATCCAAGACAGCAAAACATTCACCTGTCAGGGCTCACACAGCCAGGACAGGAGGAGGAAATGTCATCAGCAGACAGCCCCATCTCCGAGGGTTTCCCAGGGTGAGGAGTGCTCTCAGCAGCTCAGCACCTGCCTCTATAACTCCCTTTGGAAACTGTCCAGGATGCAGTTTATTTCCTGCTGGGAAGGGGAGGCCATGAGGAAATCAATGGGGTTGTGAAAAGAAAGCTCAGAATCCCTTTCCTGCCCCCAGGTAAAGCTGCACGTACAGGAAAGGTGAAGCCCTTGCATTATACATGAGAAAACACCAGAGAATAAACAGCCTGGAAGGAAAAAGGCAACAAATCTCCCCCATTTCTGACCTTTGTTTTCAGTGTTCCTGATTTATCTTCCATTATTAATCAGCTGGGGAGGCAGGAGTGAATGCAAACATGCACAGAAGAGCTGTCAGGTCTGGGTGAGCCCTGCTCCAGCCCCTCCAGTGGCACCCACACTGATCAACCAAAGAGTTTTTGGGTTTATCCAAAGAGAGTTGGCACAGCCACATCTTTCAGCAGATACTCATGGGACACTTCTCTGGGAGGCTCCTCATGGTCTTTCACTCAAGGGCTGGACTGGTCCATGCTTAGGGCAACATTTGACCTTGAGTTTTGCAGAGTGTCTCGAGTTTTTTCTCTCTGAAATCATCAGCTATGATGGAATATTGCTAATGGGAAATGTTACAGGGCAAACCTACATTTTGTTGTTTCCATCAGATGTGGATGAGGTTTTTTGAATGCACAAGGGATCCTAATGAAGTCACACATCTGCTTACAAGAGACCTTGCCTGACTTACAGAAAAAATACCCTCTTCCCAAAATTCAGCTTCCCTGTAAAGATTCCTGACATCATCCGGGGAGAATTCTTCAAAATCCAGAAGTGTATAAACCAAATTGTTCTTTCTCCACTGTCTTCTGAATTTTGGCTGTGAGCCTTTATATTAATAATAAAATAAAATTTTATTGCTATTATTATATAATTCAATAATAATATCATTACTAATGTAATTAATCTCTGCTGATTCTAACTAAAAGGGATTTTATATCTTTACTTGGCTGAAAGTTCTACGTGTTCCACAAAAATCCAATGTGTGAACACACCTACAGGTATATGTGTCTATATAAAGACAAATCCTTTTATTTAATCAACCAAATCTGTGCACACAGTTTTAAACCCATGTGTTAAAAATCCTCTATTTGGGTTGGAATCTGAGCTTGCAGGTTCAGACCACAGGTAATAAACACAGCCAGAGCACCTGACCAGAGAGAGGGAAAGAAAAAAGGTAATGTATTTTATTTTGTTTGCAGAAGACTTAAAATTACCCCCAAACCTTCTCTGGTTTGAAAATAAAGGAAATAAAACTTTCTTGACTTGAAAATCACCTGCCATTGGCATTTGTGCCTGTATCTGGATGCTCAGGCAGGTGGGAGCAGAGCCTGGAGACCTGCTGCTGCCCAGCAAAATAACAGAGGTGCCAAAAGCCCTCAGAATTTGACAGTTTATTGCCCCTGAGTATCATTTTCTGCCTGCAGACTCAGGTAATTGCTGGATGAAGCTCAAATCAAATGCAGATCAAAAGTATTAATGGAGCCTCATAAAATTTTATTTACTTGCCAGCCCAGCATGTGGTTTTTTTTTTTTTTTTTTTTTTTTTTTGCTATGGAAATAAATTAGCAGTAATCTTTTTTTTATTGTTTTGAAAAATAAAGGTTTTAAGCCAGGCTTAGTACATTCATTCACTGGTTTTGCCAAGCTGGTTTAGTGGCAACCACCTCTCCCTGGGAACAGCTCAGCCCCACAGTTACAGCACCTAAAACTGTCCCTGACACCCCAAACTCCCATGGTAATCCTGAATATTCCATCTTCTCTTTGTAGGGTTGTGCACCTTTGGAGTGACTCCAAAGTCCTTAAGAAGGAAGATCAAATTGGGTAGGTGTGCTTAAAAATGCTCAAGCTGATGCTTCCTGATTTCAGAAGAAGAAAGCAAAGGAGAGAGGTTGTGCCCAAAAATGCTCCATCCCTGGAAATGCTCCAATCAGCCCTGAAAGCGTTCAAAAGCTGTGTGGATGTGTCACTTGGGGACACATTTTGGTGGTGAACATGTCAGTGCTGGGTTAATAATTGGAGTTAATTATCTTAGAGGTCTTTTCCAGCCTGAATAATTCCATGAGAGATGAGCCACGAGCAGTCCCAGCCATCCATCCCAGCAGCTATGCACCCCACAAATAACCTAGCATCCCCAAACAAGCACCTCACCCTTATTTCCATTTTATTTTGGGATTTGGGATGGGAGATCCCATCCACCCAGCCATGGGACACACAGTCCCTGCATCTCCAGGCTGGGCAAAGCTTTGCCAACACACCTGAGGCATCTTCTTGGTTGCTCCTTCACATCTCTCTGGCAGCTTCAGCAGAGACACCAAGGAACAAGCAGGCTTGGAGAAGTCCTCACCTCCCAGCCACACCCGAGGCCAGGTGGAAGAAGGTCCCTGTGCTGCAGCTTTCCAGGGGATATTCAGGAATTCACTCTCCTAGGCTGTCAATCTTGCACCTTTTAAGCAGCACTGGTCTCGCTTTATAAGGGAATAAAGTGATTTCTCATTTCACTGATAACCTGGACTCTGACTGGAAAGAAAAGCCCCAAATGGAAAATCCTGACACTAAAGCTTCAAGCCCAATGTGCAAAGACTCAATCCAGCTAAATCAGTAAATTCCCTCACGGTAATTAAAGGCACTAATTGATTTGTGAAAACATCTTTGGGATGGGAGCTGAAATGAGGGGATTTACAAGCCCCGCTCCTAATCCCCAGCGACTCCAATCAGTCCAGTTTGACAGGGAAGCAGAGAGCTGCCGTGGATGAATGAGGGGAGACTAAGATTTCTTATTTTGTATCTTCTCAAGGAAATACCAGTGCATTTAATGACCAATTTCTCCCTTCCTGAGGCCATTTCTCCAGGCTTCTGAGGGTTTGGGTATCACTTTGATGCTTTCCACAACCAGGGCAAACGCTGCTCTCAGGCACCTTCATGTGAACCCTGTGAATTCACCAAAGCAGCATCAAGGTGGGGAAGAGAAAAAGGGATTCCTAACGAGGAGAAAGGCTCTTGGATAGGGCAGGGAGCAGGGTCCCATTGTATTTCATCTCAGGACAGAGTCCTGGGGCTTTCAGGCACCATGGCCAGACAGGCAGTGCTTAGTCCTGAGGCTTCAAGTCCATGAGGGCTGTGAGAAATGTGGGAATTTCAAGTCCATGAAGGCTGTGGGAAATGTGGGAATTTCAAGTCCATGAAGGCTGTGGGAAATGCGGGAATTTCAAGTCCATGAAGGCTGTGGGAATGCAGGAATTTCAAGTCCATGAGGGCTATGAAAAACATGGGAATTTCAAGTCCATGAAGGTTGTGGGAAAGGTAGGAATTGCAGCTTGCAAACTGTGAGAGAATTAAATGGTTCATGGCTTAAATATTGTTAAAATCATGGAAAGGCTTCTGCCCACAGTAGCAAAGAAGCAGCTGCTCATCTGTGGCTACCAAAGCCACCCCTCCCCAAATACACCTACAAACAGAATGTGAAGTGTGGATAAGTGTGGGATGAGATAAATGTGATACTATTGTCCAGTCCTCCCAGGTCGAGGGAGAAGAGTGGGATTCTAGAAGAGACACTGGGATGCTGGTGGCTCAAACACTCAGGAGAAGCTGCCATGGGCAAAGCTCCCACCCAGTGCCAGGGGCAAGCACAGCCCAGCCCAGCCCACAGCTGGTGCTGGACCAGATAAGGAAAGAGGGGAACCCTGGGAGGTGGGAGCTTTGTCCTTATCAAGTGTGATGCCTTGAGAAAGCTGAGCTGGAGCAGAGGCTGGGCAGAGCTAAAGAACAAATCAGGGATTTATTAAAGGATCTCCTCCATAGAGCCACCTTGGGCAGCACCAGAGCCCAGCCAGGGCTGCACCCAAGATGAACCAAAATGGTCCCAAAATGAACCCAAGATGAACCAAAATGGTCCCAAAATGAACCCAAATGACCCAAAATGACCCCAAAATGCACGAGCGCTCCCAGGGGCTCTCCCTGGGATCAGTTCTGCTCCATTGGCACCTTGGAGTTCATTCCCATTCCAGCTCCAGCCCATCAGTCCCACCCTGCTTGTTTTTCTCTCTCCAGCCCACGGTGTTTGTGCTCCTGGGCTGAGGTTTGGATCATTTGTCCTTGGTGCCCAGCTGGAGCAGGAATTGTTTTGTGTTCCTGCTCTGTGCACAGAGCTCACCATCCCATAATGTGAAGCTCAGACCCACACACTAAAGCAGCACAGAGTGTGAAAATATAAAAGCTAAAACCTGAGGCATCAACTCAGCTGTGATAACTCCCCTGCCCAAGGCAGTGCTGGAACATTCACATGGAGCCTGAAGGTGCTCACTCCCCATTCTGGGACCTAATGGAGCCAACTGGGCTGGTGCAAGAGGCAGCTGTGTCGACTTAGGAGGTGTCAAAAACTTGTGATCCACCACATTCCATCATCCAGGTGTCCTTGATCCACCACATTCCATCATCCAGTGGGAAACCCCCAATGGATGTTCCCACCTGAGTATAAACCAGCAGAGATTGTGTTCTGGGGATTTTCTTCATTGTTCCTTTGGGATGCCCCTTGTCCTCTGATGGATCCATCACTTCAACCAACAGGCATCAAAATTGCAATGACCAAGTTTTGTGGTGCCTGTGAGTGCTGCAATCTTTCTACTCTCATCCTTTTCTTCCTTATGCTTTTTCTTATGTAATATTTTTAGGCTTTTGTATTTTCATAGTGCTAGGTATAAGAACGACCAAAATGGCTTTGTAGCTGCTTTCCCCTGCAACCAAATTGTTCTAAAATAAACCTATATATATATATATATATATATATATATATATATATATTTACAAACAGATCATTCAGTGTCATTTCACTCTAATCCACCCTGAGGGGTCCATTGGCTCTGGAAAGTATCTCTGCACAAATCCTTGGTGGACACAATGCTTGGAAATCAGTTTTCCACACCGAGGACCAAAGTTATCAGAGCAGTGCTCCTTTAAACAACCATGGGAATTGGGAGAAGGGTTTTCCTGGGATACTCACCTGAAGATGCTCCACTCAGGCTCGATCCTCAGGATGGTGGGATCCTCTACATATTCATAGTGCAGCTCCTGATGGATCTTGGCCTTGTCCACTCTCACGGACACCTTCACCTTCTCAAAGCCTTCATAGGAGGCCGTGGTGTTACAGACAATGTGCTTGGTGGATCTCCTGAGAGGAGGAGAAATAAAAGTGAACCAGGTGCTACCAGCAGCAAAATGGTGCCAAAAAGAGCCCAACTATTTATTCTTATGTCCTGTGGCCCAAATCTGTGCACTGAAGAGGGAGAACTCAGTGTGAACCATTTATGTTCCTGTAGCACCGTGTGGGGAAGTGGCATTGCCTTTTCACTGGTTTAAATAAAAACACAAGAGCCCTCAGGACTCAGAGCAAAATCTGAACCCCTAGGGAAGTCCAAACTAGGCCTCCCTCCAGAAGTATTTCTCTGTGATTAAATATTTGATGGATGTTTCCTTCCTGCCTGCAGACATGTGCAGCAGCAGCTCATAAAAGGGGTGTTTGCACCTCAGCCTTGCAGTCTGGGATCATAAAGTTTACTTTGCATTAGGACTGTAAGTCTTATTTAAGTGCAGTTTGCAGCATGCCTGGGACCTTTGGAAGTGCTAATACAGTGGGAAGTATTTTATGATTAAAGAGGGTTCTGCATAAACCTTTCATTTTTGGCAGGGCTCAAAACCAGCTCCAGGTCTGCATTCTTTTCAAAATGAGTCAAAAATCCAGGCACCAAACATTCTCAATCTTCCCAGTCCTGTGATTTGTGATGCAGCCTCACCTTAGACCCCTAAAATGGGGGTGTAAGTCACCTCCAATGACTGCACCCTCCAGGTGCCTTCTAAATTCCCCCAGAAGACAGTGCTCACTCCCTCCTAAAATTCCCCAGCCTTCTGTGAGCATCTCCAAGCAGCTGTGGCTCCCACTTGGCATTTCAAATCACAGCCTGTGACTTCACCCTGCTGAATTTTGGATGCTGGATCGCTCCACAGTCATGACAGGCTGCTAAAGAGGATCCCCACAGCCAGGAGAGGGAAGGGCATTGCCCCAGGGCAGTGCTCCCAGGTCTCCTGTGAATGAGGCTTCCTCTGCCAAGGACATATTTGGGAGAAATGTGCCAACTTCATCTTCAGCCCCCATCTCTACTGGCAGCAAAATGTGTTGCTCTGGGTAGTTTTGAGCTGTGGGAGCCCCTGGGAATGGGATTCAGAGTCATTCTCACAGGGATCAGGGAACATCCAGCAGGTAACACTGACATTAAGCTTCTCTGAAGCGCCATTGAACAGGAGCCAACACTGAGCTAAAATGTTGCAAATCATCCATTTCTTAGCACTACAGGACTATTCTGGGATAAAAGGGAGGTGGTTTAGTACTTCGAACTGATGTTGTCAGATTTTCTTTGTCACCTCTACTAAAGCAGGGACATGAAAATGAATCTTTTAAACTATGCACTCCCAGAGCAAGTAGCAGAGCGCAGGACCGTGGAGAATTGTACTGAAATCTGACAAGAGGCCACGGGGAAAAAGCACATCAAATACCAGTCAAAACAATGAAATAAATCCTATTTTCTCTCCCTAAAACATGGCTAGCAAAGCTGTGCATGGTGCAGAATGCACAAGTCCCATTGCAGCATAGATGTGGCACTTGACGGACAAGGTGTCAGGGCTGCAGGAGAAGTTTCCTGACTTTAATTGGTGTTTAATCTTTCACACTCAGGAACGAGCAGCAGGAAGGGCTCATCTGTACCTGTAGAAGAGGCAGGGTTGTCGCCCAAAGGTCACAATGACATTGCTGCCAGCGTTGAGGTTGTTGCCTGTGATTGTCACCTGGGTGCCACCCGACACTGGTCCTCGCTTCGGCTTCAGGTCAGAGAGGGTCAGAGTCTGTGGAGGCAAAGGGAGGTGTTGGAAACACAGCAGAGGAGCAGAGGGATCATCCCTCTCCTGTTAGTGCTGGAGAGAGGGAGGCACCCTCAAGGATTAATCAGGGCCCCTGAAGCTGGCCACATCTGGCTGATAGAGGAGCCTGGGGTGACACCAGATCTGTCAGAGACCCTCTGCTTGAATGCCAGGTTTGGTAGGATGAGTTCAGACCCAACCCCAGTCTGTTCTCCTCCAAAATGAGATCTGCCTTTGTACCCACTCAGGAATATTCCTACAAAGACAGGTCCATGCCTGGAGCACCTTGGATCACAATCTTTCATCTCCACTGCTTGTTAGGCACAGCTCAGGGGACTTTTTGCTGTCACACAACACCAGCTCAGCAGGATAAGTCAGGCAGCGAACTGGTTTGACTGCATCTTAATGGGGAATCTCTAAACTGTGGAACTCACAAGTGATGAAAATGGCTTGGTTTTGAGAAGATCACCCAACTTTATCGATTCTCAGAATCACAGAATGGTTTGGGTGGGAAGGAACCTCAAAGCTCACCCAGTCCCACCCCTACCATGGGCAGGGACACCTCCCACTACCCCAGATTGCTCCAAGCCCTGTCCAACCTGGCCTTGGACACTTCCATGGATGAGGCACAGCTTCTTCAGCCTCTCCACTCTCACAGGGAACAACTCCTTGCCAATATTCCATCTAACCCTGCCCTCTGCCAGCGGGAAGCCATTCTCCCTTGGATGAAGGAGAGCAGAATGTCTGAGTTTGTTCTTGCCTCTCCCACACAGGATCCCAGAATCAATGAGGTTGGGAAAGACCTCCAAGGTCACCGAGTCCAACCTGTGACCCATCCCCACCTTGGCAACCAGAACAGAGCACATCCAGTTGTTCTTTGAACACCTCTAGGGATGGGACTCCATCACCTCCTGGTGCAATTCCAATATCCAACAACCCTTTCCATGAAGAAATTCCTCTTATGTCCAACCTAAGCCTGCCCTGGTGCAAAATACCCACACATGACCCCAAATCTTTCTCTTATCTGCCTTGGATGTTGAGACAGCCTCGAGCTGTCCTTCACTGACACATGGTGGTGGTGCTCCTGTCGAGGAGTCCTCAGAAATGCCACAGCCACGGAAGCAGCACTGCCCACTTGAACACCTTTTCCCTTTTCCTGCTGATTTTCTGAGCCTCTTTTCCCAGCCTAACGTTGTGTTAATATATCAAAAAGGGGCACAATTCCTTTAGAGGCCCCAAATCTCAAAACTCTTTTTCTTACCTTGCAACCCTCCCTTCTTCCCCAAATCAAGATAAAATACTCGCGCTCTGAAGGCACAGATCACCCTGTTACCACAATGCAGAGAGGAGACATCAATATTCAGGGAGAAATTTGGTGTTACAGTTTATTCTTTCATTTGCATTTTAATAGAAAAACTTTCCATTCAGTCCCAAGTGAAAAGCTACTATATGCATTTAAATGAAGATTATTTCTTTCCCCCTCTCTTTAAGAATGATGACACAAGTGCTTGAAGCTCTCAGCTCCTCTGAGCGAGCAGGTACATCACGCAGTCACCTTATTGAGCTTTGGAGACCATTAATCCATGTTTATAAAACCACCTGACACACACCACAGCTCCCACTCTCACACACACAGAGCCACCTCTGTTCCCGGGCCCCTCTGGTTTAATCATTTTGAAAAACAGCGGCAAGATTTCCATTTTTCCATTTTGTTCCTATTCTAAATGCAGCTCTTGGAGGAAGGGCAGAACATGAAAAGCAGACTTACAGCTCTGTAGAAGGATCTTCTGTCAGAGCTGGGCACTTTCTGTGTTTAAACCTGGCTGGCTTTCACCTGATGGTTTGGAAGCTGGTTTCATACTTAGAATTATGGAACTTTTGAGGTTGGAAAAGACCCCTATGATCAGGAAGTCCAGGTATTAACCCAGCACAGGCAAGGCCATGACTAAAGCACCTTGAACACCTCCAGGGACAATGATTCCACCACTTCCATGGGCAGCCTGGGCTGGTGCTTGGCAACCTTTTCATCAATAAATTTTCCCAAAATCCATCCTGGCCCTCCCCTGGCCCAGCCTGAGGTCGTTCCCTCTGCTCCTGTCCCTGTTCCCTGGAGCACAGCCCGACCCCCCGGCTGTCCCCTCCTGGCAGGGACTTGTGCAGAGCCACAAGGTCCCCCTGAGCCTCCTTGGCTCCAGCTCAGCCCCTTCCCAGCTCCCTCAGCTGCTCCTGGGGCTCCAGATCCTTCCCAGCTCCATTCCCTGGTCCTGCTGGCCACACTGATACAATCCAGGTGCCATTGGCTTCTTGGCCACCTGGACACACCTGGCCTCATGTTCAGCCACTGTCAACCAGGTCCTTTCCCACTGGGCAGCATTCCAGCCATTCTCTAAGCCTGGAGTGTGATTTTCTGGAAATTTTCTCTACCATTCTCTTTTAATGGAATAAAAACTGCAAGAAGAGTACGGAAATGCAAAAGGTGCACTTCAGTACTTTGGGTATTTTTTGGGTACCACCTCAAGCTCTGATGGCATGCCTTTATTGATGGACATCCCCAGCAGTGCAAATTCCTGCTGACCTTGTTGGCTGATGCTGGGAGGTGACCTCCCAGCTGGCAGAAAATGGATTGGGAACACCAACCTGGTGCCCAAAGCCTACACAGCAGCCCTGCAGCAGTACCTGATTCAAAAATCATAGAGGAACATCTGAGTTAAAGACCCAAAAGACCTTTGTCCCACCCCTGGGTGGGTCCTCTGCCTCTCCTTGGGGTAGATAAAGCAGCCGTGACCCTTTGAGGATCCTCAGAGGCCACAGCCACACCAGGAACGCTCCTTGGCAAAGCCCTGCTGTGTCTGGAGCCAATCTTACAAATGGGTTTGTGGCTCAGCTTTCAAAGTTGTGATCAACCTTTAATTATCCACAATGGCCTTCTTGAATATTGCACAGCACATTAATAGCAAAACTCCAGATTGTACAGCTGGTGGAAGGTGGTGGAAAATCCAAAGAGGATCTTGTGGATTGATGATAGGCTGGAGAGTGACAGCAAGGGAAAGAGGACAGGAAATTTTCTGCATTTTCTAGGATTTTACCGACTTTCCTCAGCTTCTCAACCCTTTCTTTCCTCCAGCATCTCCTGCACACAGGTTTTCCATAGAGAAGCACCATCAGAGCTGGGTCTAAACTGCCCCCCATGGAGCTTGTCAAGACCTTGGTTCCCATTCCATTCCCCCTGGGAACACAGGAAGAGCAAGCTGTGACTCAAACACAACTTGTGCACCTGGGTTTCCTTTCTAGAGGTTCCACGGTAGCAGCAAGAGGGGAAAAGATGAAAAGGATGGATGGGAAATGCTCCCCAAAACCAGGATTTCAGGAGCAGACTCAGAAGAAATGTGGAGCAGCCCACAGCACCTGCTCTGAGACACAATATTTCCATCTAAAGCCAGAATAAAGGTAAATTTTCTTCAGCACTCGAATAAAGAAGTGAATGTAATATTTTCTTCATTGAAAGACTGGGGCAATAATCACAGCAAGAAAATGAATAACTAAAACAATATATTTCATTTAGATCATCATACATTTCATTTCAGCTTTGTTTCCCTCTTGGCTTATTGTACTTTCTAATGCAATTTGCAGGTTTTGATCACAGATGAGTTTATAACGAATGAGCAGCTATTTAAATTTAAAAGTTCTGGTTAGAAAGATGGAGAAGAAACATTCTGGCATCTCTAAACTAAGCCACCTCTTTCTTAAAACACTGAAATTAAATACTCTGTTGAGTCCAAACAATCATCTCCTCAAATTCTTGCAGGACAGAGAGGCTGAACCAATTGGCCAACTTTGACCAAGTTTTCCTTCAAACCTCTGGAAAACCAATTTTCCAGAAGATTTGCTACGAGTCAAGAAGTCACATTTATCTCCCAGGTGATGCCCTTCTTGGTTTTCAAACATCTTCTTTCCCTTCAAGCTGCCACACACCGCTGCAGGATGCCGAGGCACGTTGAGATTCCTGCAACAGCAGAAAAATCCGAGGAAGCCAAAAAACCACAGCTCCCACTGTGAAAGCACCAGACATGGGAGAGGGAATATGATGGGCAGGCTGGAGAGTGTCTGTATTTTGTTTTTTTTTTTTTTGTCTAGCACAAAGGTATCGAGGTATTCAGCAGAGAAAACCCCGGTGGCTTCGTGCTCGTGCCCTGGCAGCCGGGAAGGCGGCAAGCGGGGGGAAAAGCTGTCACAGATGGACACGGATGATCAAAGCCAGACAGTAATTCCAGGAGTAGCAAAGGTGACACGTTGAAGTGTAATGTCCTGGAAAGAGCCCTTCTGGCTGCCTGGTAGGGGCTTTCTCTCAAGGTGTTTCTCTGCCCCCGCCACCTCAACACCTGAGTGACATTGGAAAATGCAGAGAACAGAGAAATTTCTGTAGCTCGAGGGGGCAATCCAAGACATTTGCATTCATTACCAGTTGCCTTTCCCATAAAGAAATGCTCAGGCATGTGAATAATTTCAGAAGAGACCCATTCTCTTGCAAGAGTTGAGAGCTTTTGATGGGAGCAAAGGGACCCTCTCATCTCAAACCTGCATAGATCTGAACAGATCAAGGCCAGACAACGCTCGCATGTCCTCAGCAAGGGGCCTTAGAGGAATAATCAGGTCTCTTGGACAAGGAACATCATCAGAAGGGAGGAAAAAAGCACAGGTTGAGTGTACAACATATGTTTGCACTTGAAGTGAAGCTGAAGCTTGCAGGTGTCTCTTGTTTCATCATGGAGCATCCAAAACCATTGCCCACCAGCACTGAGCTCCAGTCACATCCTACAGCTCACCAGCAGCCTGAGCTGGATCTGTCCTGATCCCAGTGCTCCTGGTGTGGACAGGATGAATAAACACCTGGGGGAATCCAAGAGGGAGGAGAGAGAAACCCAATCAAGGCCATCACACTCAGGCTGCTGAAGATCCCAGGGTTGTAATGAGTAGTGACAGCCCCCAAGTTTCTTCTGGAGGACACCGGTGGCTCCAAGCAGAGGGGTGTTGGTAGCAGGAACATCACACTCAGAAAGAATATAAGATACTAAAGAAATTTTTCCCTTTTTTAGCTCTTTTTTTTCTTTCCCGCAGAGCACTTTTAACTATTAATGAGAATTTTCTGTATTAATTTGGACCGCGGCTGCATGGAACTGTAACTGGACTAATAATCTAGACTATTATTAGGTTGTTAAAACTTTAATTAGACCAGCTATTTTTGCTGGGAACAAGATGTTGAAAGGAAACGGAATGAACAAATTGGTGCACTGGAACGGCAGCGAAGAGCTCGGAGGCTCAGCGTGGTGAAGGACAATGGACAGAGGGAGCAAAGAGGACCAAGGAGTTTGGGGCCCAGGAGAACTTTGTCAGGAACTTACCATGAAGTAGTAGAGCTGAGAAGACCTGGCCATGAACTCGGGCTTGCACTCGGCCACGCAGATTTCCACGAATCCGGCGTGCTGGCTGGGCTTGGCCTCCCCCATCTCACACACGATCCTGAGGGGAAAACACCAACCAGGAGCAGACTTTGAGGGGTGGTTTGGTGGTGCTGGTAAGATGGAATTGGAGCAAAGAGCCCACAGTGCTGGGGGATGGAGTGTAGGTTAATCCACCCTCTTCTGTCTCATCCAGAATCCAAACTGTGGATTAAGCTATTCTTTAGAAAGTGGTGGCTTCTGGCTGGGACAAGTGCTGAGGTGGTGTAAATCCACTTAAATACACAGAGAAATGTTGGGCTGAGGTCTGGCTCCATCCCTCTCAGCTCCAGCCGGGCATGGTGGAGGCAGCTCTAAGGTTTAATGATCTCTCCTGCATTTAGCCAGAGGCTTTCCAGGATTGCTGCCTTCCAGACTGGAATTGAACACCTTGGGGTGACTGCTTGGTGAAAACCAGGATAACTTCAGGGTATTTGCCATGAGGATCACCTAAATATGCACTCCAAACGCAGTAATAACTGGATTATTAAATAAATGGATTATCCCTATCTGTACGTGAGGAACGGCCTCTTCCATCCCTCAATTCCCAGGTGGGAATGGATTCCTTGGAAGGCCCTACAGGTAGCAATGTCATTAAGTGTGCTGTGGCCTTTGCTCTGCCACACATCCCACTTACTGCTCTGCTGGGATGTACCCTTCCACCAGGGGCTTGCACTCCACGCCAGCCACTTTGACGTGGGACGCGATATCCTGGAATTCCAGCCCCAGGTTCTCCCCACGGATGGTCACTCTGGTCCCTCCCTCGCGAGGGCCTGTCACGGGGTTGATCTGGGGAAACAAGCCAAAAGAAAGGAGAATGATCAAACCATCCACCAAAATACTGTCAGATGAAAGAACAGACAACTCTTGGGGTAACTAGGGACACTTACAATTATAAATGCTGAACAAACCTGCTTCAGATACTCAGAGTATGCAAAATTCTGCCCCAGACCTCATTTACTCTCTTTTAACTACTTGCAAAACATCCAGAGATGAGTAGAAGATTTTTTTTCTAGGGATTTGTGGAGCTGCAGCTGAGCTCTGCACTTTGTAGATGTGAGCCATGGAAAGGCAGGAGAGGGACACAGTGGAGAGAAATGGGAGAAGGAACAAGACAAGGACATCAAGGGTTGAGCCAGCCACTTGAAATCCTAAATTCCCAGCCCAAAGCACGTGGAGGTTTTCTCTTCTGGAGGTAGGTAATGGTCATGCATCAGAAATTCAGCTGAAAATGTCCACCTGGAATAAAAACCAGCCAAGCCACAGCAGGAACAGGGTGTTGGGTTAGGTGTGGAGGAGGTGGATGGTGACTGAGACAGCAGCAGCACTGCTCTGTGCCAAGAGCTCCAGTTTCCCCTCTGGGAGAGCTGGGACCATTGGAAGGGCAGGAAGGGAGCATGGACAGATTATTTGTGGAGCTTCTGAGTCTCAGCACGAGAGGAGCAACCATCCCAACCAACCTGGGGGCTGCTGGAATGGTGTTTGCATCCCAGCCTGGCCCTGCACCAGAGCCTCACAGGGTCTTGCTCCATCTCCCTTGTCCAGAGCCAGGTGGGAATCAGCACTGGAGTTGTCTCCTGAGCATTGGAACAGCACCAGAATCACGGGGCTGGCCCTTAATTATCTCCATTCTGCCCTTCCAGTTCCTCGCCGTGCCCACTTTGCCATGTCACTGCCTGCTCGAGAGGGGTTCAAGCACTTCCCTGGCAGGGTGTTCCCTGCTGCCTGCTCAGGATGCCACGGCTGCCATCTGCCAGGACTGGCACGGCTCTCCTGCAGTGAGCAAAGGGGAATTCCCTGTCTCAGGTCTGTACCCACCTGCCCCTGGCTCTGCCAGGTGGTAATCTGGGGCTGGCAGCCATGCCCTGCTGCTCCCAGCCCCTTCCCAGCACCCAAACTGGCATTGGGTTGGTGTAATTCCCTCCCAAAGGGTGATTTTTAGAAGGCTCAACCTTTAATAAAAGGAGGGAGAGCCAGGCACCTCTAGGGCATATTTAATTTTAGGATATTTATTGTAGTTGTTGTGAACCAACTCCTCGGTGAGTGTGACTTATCTTTGACTCTGCAGGGAACCAGGAGGTATTTGTGGTGGTTTTCCAGGAAATCAAAAAAAAAAAAAAGGGAAAGAAGAAAGGGGAAAGGGAAATGGGAAAGGAGAAGGGGAAAGGGGAAAGGGGAAAGGGGAAAGGGAAACAGGGAAACAGGGAAAGGGAAAGGGAAAAGGGAAAAGGCAAAGGGAAAAAGGGAAAGGAAAAGGGAAAGGCAAAAAGGGAAAGGGAAAGGGAAAAAGGAAAAGGTGTCTAAAGCACAAGATTTCAAAAAATTCTTGCTGCGACTCAAAAAGCATCAACAGGAAACTACCTAGAGCAAAGCCAACACATCACCACAAAATCCTTCCCTGGGCAATATTTAATTTGTGAAGGCCAGCTTCAAAACCCACTTATTTCCTTAAATCAGGAGGGCCTGGGATTCTCCCAGGATCACATGGGAGATTTTTTTAACCCTATTTCACAGCTCTGTTGTAGCTTCATCCAAGAGGAAGGTGTTACCAGGTTGTTTTCACAGCAGGAGAGGAGGAGCCTGCTCTATCACAGGTGAAAAACGTGGCACAAGACCTGTCAGTTTTGGAGAGGAAAATCCAGGCACGGAAACAAAAGCTGTCAGGAAGCCTCAGCTTCCTCTGGAAGACCCAGAGCTGCATCCCAATTTCCAGTCTCTGCTCATATCAACTGCTGCTTGTCACTCCTAAAAGAGGTTTTTGTGGCTCAGCGAGTCTCTAAGTCCCTGAATTTCCCTGAGTGGCAGTGTAAATGCCAGAGCTGGTACAGAAATGGGGAGATCAGTGCTGCAGGGGGTGTGAGTGCCCCTACAAGTGTGAGTACACGTGTTGTTCCTCCTCTCCCCTGCAGAGACCCAGCCCTGGCTCCTCTCCAGGCTCTGGATGCTGCCACCCCACAGCTCCAGCCCTACCATTAGCTGCAGAATATATCCAGTCACTTGAGATTACTTCCATGCTAATGGCTCAGAAAAAGGCCTTCCAAGAGCTACTTAGGATTGCAGCAGGCAGCTGGAATATTTCATGAGTGAGTGTTGCGATGATCTGTTTGAGCTCAGAGAGTTGTTGGAGGAAATGCCAGCAGAATTTGAAGCATGGCCCCTCTGGAGCTGTAGGGTGGAGAATGAGGGATTTGCTCTTCAAAGAGAGGCTGGAAATGAAGGATTAGGGTTAAAGCACGCCAGGGAAATGTGGATGGACTTTCAGAACTTCTGCACACCCAGGTCCCTGTGTTTTGGATTTCTGCTTTAGTTGATCATCCATCAGCTGCCCCATATCAAATTCCATCATTGTTTCACAAGGTCTGAGAATCTGAAAATATTATTAAAATGTTTCCCCCAGCTCCAAGTGATTTTCAAGACCTCAAAGTTGAATTTTCAGGTGTAGATGTCCTTTCTGGCTGTCTGGAATTGGTTTCACAGCTTCAGGTGGTTCAGATGGGGTCAGAATTACCAGTCTGAGATAAATCCAAGTGAAGTAGAGACCTTCACCTTGGAAACACCAGAATGAGCCATAAACATCAGAATAAACTGACCTCCAACAGTTCAAGTGAGAGAGAGCTGTGAAAGCTGGTGGATGACAGGGAGATGGATCAAAACACAGGGAAATAGGTTATTTTCAGGAACACCTTGGAAAAACGGATTCAACCCAGCCTTTGCTCACCCAAAATGTTCAAGCACAGATATTGCTTTAGGGCTCTTCCATAACACCCACACTTTTTGAATCTGAATCAAATACAACTTTAAAAAGCCTTTCTTGCTTTCTAGAAAAATAACCCACCTAATTATTCCTATTAAACCACCACTGTGGAGGCTGGATTTTCCTCTTTTGCATTTCCCCATCTTTTCCCTGTTTCATTTCCCTCCTGACTTTTCCCACTCGTAAATCAGGCCCTGGCCACATTGAAAGGGTGCTCGTGCTGAGCAAGGTCTGGTGGCTGAGAGGTGCTCAAGGCAGGAGGCAGCTGGAAGGGCTGGAGCCCTGATTTTCAAGGCTCAGGTCTGTCCTGCTGCCTGTCCAGTGACCCTGAAAACGTTCCTGGCATTATGGCAAAGGCATCCTAAGACAGCAGACAAAAATCCCTTCAGATTTTAGGCCTGACTTGCCTCCCCTGCCTTCTTTCCCTTCTTGTCTTTCTGGTCATCTTATTCTCTGATTTCCTTTTTGAACCTTTCCTCCAGCTTTTCCTTTGGCCCAGTCATCATGATCAATAGGGAACAACATTATCCTGCAGATCCTTCCCCTGCCCTACCCTCATTCTCTTTATCTTAATAGGACACTTCCCAGCTTTTCCTACTCCAGGCTTGCTCCTGCCTCCTCCTTGAGCCTTCCAAGGGGACACTTGACACCTGTACAGGGCTTTTTTTTTGCTCTGTGAAGACTTTTTCACTTCACAACATCATCCAGGGGCAGGACAAACAAAAAGGTTTAATCTGCTGGAGTCAGTGGAGGTTTCTGGAGTTTCTTTTCTGGGCATGGCTTTGTCCATGTCATGTTGCCAGGAAATATGAATTACACCTTCCCTCTTGCTTGATGTCCTGTCAGCAAAGCTCCAACCTCTCTGGGATCACTCAACACCTCCTTCTCAGCCAGGCTGGCCAGAGAGGCTCCAAGAGACATTTGGGCTCCTCTGATTTACCCTCACACCGACCATTAGATTTTGTCTCACCTTCAGCTTCTCCTCTAGAAGGCCAAGCTCTCCTAAGAGCTCGATGCCCCATCTGCCAGCCCTTTTTGGGCAGGTCAGGTGCTCTGGGGCTGCTCAGGCTGCACCAACAGTCTGTGTTTGGGATTATGGTGGAAATTCTGACACCCTTGGGTGTCAACCCAAGTATGGATTCTTTGCTTTCCTTTTTACCAGGGTTGGGATTAAATGTGTGAGGTGATATTTCTGGTTTGGACTCAGATGTTTATTAGTTCTTATCTCTGCTACAGTCTCACAAACCCTGAGTTCTACAGCACTTCACTCTAACAAACGAAAAATGGAGCCCTATTTCTCTCTCTATAAGGCCTTCTGAGGATAAACCGTCCAATTAAGAAATGACACCTCAATTATTTTTACTTTTAACCCAATAACCAACCACCCATGCTTGCAATGTGGACTTTTTTATCCAATTACACAAAACCACCCAAACCCATGGAGAAGGAGGTGAAGAAGAAGGACCAGCCACTGCCCCAAAACCTCCATTTTGTTTTATATCTATTACTGTATTCTAAACCCTTTAATTCCGAATTTTCCACCCTGTGATATCAAACACTTCTATCGAAACTCCACCCCCACAATCCCAGTGCTGTCATTCCATTTTGGAAGCTTCTCCATGGCCTCAGGTCAGTGCAGTGTTCTCCTGGGGTCAGTGCCTGGCAGCACAGAAAGTGTAAAATTCTCAGTAACCAGGGTTCCAACACTTCAGGTCATCCCTGGGTTGTAGACACATAAAAATTTTGTTCCTGCCTTTGAAGCCACCGTGGCCTCACATCCCCAGAGTGCCTGAGGCTTTTCCTGACCCAGCAGAACTCAGCCCTCTCCTCCCCATCACCAACCCAAGCCCAAATGGGGAAAACAAAGCAAGGAAAGGGAATCCCCCAGCTTCTCACAGAACCAGGACTTACATCCGTGATCTTGGGGTTGGTGCACTTGCCCTTGGTGCTGGACAGCTCCAGCCACTGGCTGTCCTGGGCTGGGCAGTGCTGCTTCAGCGTGCACTGGTTCTGTCCCTGGCACCAGCCACACTCGAAGTCGGGGTCGGCTTTCAGGCAGAGTCCGCAGCTGTCCCGCATGGCCCCGCACTTGTACAGGTGAACTGCAGGGACAGCAGAAACACAGGGCCTGAGACACGCAGGCAGCTCAGGGCAGCGTGGGAGGCAGTGGGAGGAAGAGGGGAAAACGTTCCGGGCTGCTCGTGTCAGAGGCAGGATGGAAACTCTCCAAGGGGGTGAGTAATGGGGGGGAAAACATGGGCATCCTGCTTGAAATAAAGTTAATTCGTTCGTTCATTCTTAATCAAAGGTGTTTTTGGAAGCTGAGAGGAGAAGGAAGGATGCTGCTCTCATTCTGGTGAAGGACTACAAGCAGGAGGTTGGAGGAAATGATGCTTGGGCAGTGATTTGGCCTCAGGCCCTTCCTTTCTCACAGATTGAATGTCCTAAATTGTCACCAGCAACCCCCCTACAGACTCAGCACTTCATCCCAAAAGAATTCTCTAGACCTGGCCAACTCACAGCTTAAACTTAGGTGTGAAACTCCCCAGAATTTTGTGTTATGGTGATGCCACTCAGGTTTCCCACTTGACAGAAATCCCAAAGGATAACAATAAATACAGAATGGTTCATTATGAAGCTGATTCCGGGGATTCACAACCAGCCTTTCCCCCTTCTTCTGCTCCAGAAATTCAGTCTGCTTCCCACTTTGAAGCAGAGTTGATTCCACTCTAATACAGACAGCAGTGATTAATGCTTAGCTGCATTTTGGGCTGTTAAGTGAGTAGAAGCACTCCAAGCTTTTTCTAATAAAACCTAAAAATATTGAAGCCCTCCTACGAAATGAGATCATGTTATTTATCCTTATTTTACAGATGTAGAAACTGAGGTCTGGCTTGCACAAGGGAACTGCTAGCAGAATCCTCCTCCTGGAAAATGGAGATGATAGACTCATGGCTCTCAGATGTTTTTGTCTTTCCTCCATTTGTGGGCACATTGGGAGATTTTCCCTCTGTGCTTCTGTTTTGCTGTGTCTATGGGTGACTAAAGTAGTTTTTTGTCTTTATACACAATCCCAGGGTTCAAAGGCTTTGGAAATATTCATGCTGAAAGGCTCTGTCTCTCCATACCTTCCCCCTCAAAGTCAGCAAGTATTGACCAATGCAAGAAAAACTCAGAAACTCTTTACTTTTCCAGGCTGGGTGCAAGAAGAGTACCCAAAAAGTCTGCAAAACATCTGTCAAACACAGTGTTTTCCCAACCAGGTGGGATATACCTCTTTCCTTAGTTTTCTGTGGGATTTCCTCAAATTTTCTGAGTTGTTCTGTTTGAAATGCCACCAGTGGGTATCTCTGTAGATAATTTAGCAGGGTCAGTTTGGCATTTCTGCCTCCCAGCCCAGGCCATGGTAATGCTGGATGTGAAGGCAGAGACATCTTAGTCACCTCTATGTGGTATTTCTTCCACGTGGTATCGCCATGGACACATGCCTAAATTCTCCTCCTGACCAAAAACATGATGATAATATCCAAATTACTCATCTGGGATAGCCACCACCCAGTGCTGCTTCCCAGATTTTTTTCCTAGGCATTATTTGCAACATTTTGCCTTGGAATAACCTAAGAAGGTGCTACAGATCATTCTTGAGATCATGCCCTGATCTGTTTTATGTTACTGGCACTAATAGTAACATAAAATATTATCATCATGATTATGAGATTTATTTCACTCCCACATCACCTAGGATAGCTCAGTGCAGCCCAGGAAAAGAATTTACATTTTTTGGTGTAAATGAGGGGTGCTCATTTTATGGTAGCACAAAACTAAGCAGGACTGGAGCAAGCATCCAAATTCTGACCTCCAAGGCACACTGTTAAAGGTTCTCATGGGCACTGTTTGAGCCCATGGAAATCAGCAGTGTCCTGGAAACAACGACTGTTGTCTCCTTGGAGAAAAGGAGACAACACCAGAGCAGAGGCAGGGAGGCAGTTTCAACACAGGCTGTGCCTGAGTGCCAGGCTGTTGTGTTTGCTGAGTGGATTTAACCCTCAAAAGCCACAGTTTTGGGCTGTTAGTGATGGAACTCTGCCATTCAGAGGGGGAGAAGGGCAGATGGGGCTGTGCCATGGGGAGAAGAGCTGACTTCTGTGTTGCTCTCCAAGTTGAACGTGGTGCTGGTGGGAACCTCACCCACCAGCCCTCAGCATGAGGGTGGCTGTGGAACGGTGTGACAGCACCATGGTGTGGGAATCCAGTGCTTCCCTCTGGCTGTCCTGGAAGGTCTGGGACCGTGGCAGGGGTCAGGAACCCCCCTGGACAGAGCCCCCAGAGACACTGTCTGTGATCTCTGTCCATGGAAAAGAGTTTTCAATCTTACAGCATGAATTACAAGCTCTGAGTGTTTGATAGAAGGAATAATTAAGTGTGGCACAAGTGCAAAAGTAAAATTTTAGGATTCTAGATGAGGGGTCCATAGGGGACAAGATGGAGGAAATTGGGTGTGCCTTGTCCTTTTTCTCCTTCTTCATGCCCTCCATGTTTCACTGTGGTGTTGGCATTTTTCTGTTGGTTCAGGCTGGGGACACACTGTCCAACGTAGGTGACAGATATTGGCACGTTCTTGTAAATCCAGCCCAGGGAGTTTCTGGTATTTAATGTTTGTCACATCCCACTGAGGGCAGAGCCCCACACGCTGCCCTGCAGGACAGAGCTGGGCAGGGCAGCAGAACATGTGAGAGATCAACAGAATAAACAACCTTGGAACCAGCACAGACCAATTATGGCTTCTGCTTTGGCAGCGGGGCTGACAGACAGAGACTTTCTACAATCTCAGGATCATCAATAGCTCAGATACTCATGGAGAACCTGGTGGGGACAGATTGAGTGGGAGGAGGTGTGGAAAGTGTCCAAGACAAGGTAAAGAGAGGGAGGGAGACATTCCTGAGAGGTGATGATGTGAGAAGAGAATCTGCAGGTGTGAGCTGCAAATGCAGGGCAGCCAAGGGGAGGAGTTGCCTGGGAGGAAGGTTCCATGGTGGAATGACAAGAAGGAAGAAGATGTGGATGGAGCATCCATCTCCAGAAACACCCAGCCTGCCTCAGGGTTGTGGCTGGGTGAGGGGCACAGCAAACCTGTGCCCTGGGTGGTGGTTAAACACAGGTTGTGGAATTTGTGGTATTGATGATTTTGAGATTGTAAAAGGTCTTTGTTTTTCTGCTTTATTGCTAAAGAAGAAGTCATAATTTGTTTGTGTTGGTTTTTAAGGTTGTTTATTTTTGCTTATCTCTAACATGTTTTGGTGCCCTGCTGCAGGTCTGTCCTGCAGGGCAGCGTGTGGGGCTCTGCCCCTCAGTGGGATGTTACAAACATTCAATACCAGAAACTACATGTGCTATATTTATAATAATGTGCTAATGTTTATTATTTACGTGGAACAGTGTGTCCCTAACCTAAACTAATAGAAAAATGCCAACACTACAGTGACACATGGAGGGCATGAAGAAGGAGAAAAAGGACAAGGCACACCCAATTTCCTCCATCTTGTCCCATTTGGACCCCTAATCTAGAATCCTAAAATTTTACTTTTGCACCTGTGTCACACTTAATTATTCCTTCTATCAAACACTCAGAGCTGGTAATTCATGCTGTAAGATTGGAAACTCTTTTCCATGGACAGAGATCACAGACAGTGTCTCTGGGGGCTCTGTCCAGGGGGGGTCCTGACCCCTGCCAGGGCAGCCAGAGGGACGCCCTGGGTTCCCACAACAAGTGGTTTTCAGATCCTTTTTATCATCACCATTTTATTTTGCTCAGAATCCTCTCACTGGAGAGCTGCATCCTTCCTGCTCCCCTTCTGCCTTCCGCTGCTCCCCACTAAATTGCCTCTGAGCAGAGAGCCTGCTCTCCTGGCATGTCAACTTGAAGACCATCACTGCAGGAGAAATAAAGAGGGGGGAAAAGCTGGAGAGGGAGGGGCGTGAAAACCAGAGACGAGGACGCGGGGAGAAGCGGGAGGCAGAGACGATGAAGGGAGAGGGAGAGCAACACAAGTGGGAGGGAGAGTCGCATTTCTCAGGTGGAATGAGAGAAGTGGAGGCTGGGGGGAGGCATACAAAGCACTCAAAAATTGGTAATTTGCAGAGTGCAGGGAAGAAGTGTGTAGCAGGCAGCACGGGGAGACGGTGGCGGCTTTGTTAAGTGTAGGGAGCGAGGGCCCGTTGCTAAGGTTACCGCTTCCAAGGACAAGTTGAAATAACTCTTTACCTTTGTTCTGTGCTGGGTTGTCAATGTTGAAATTCCCGTTCCACACGACTGTCAGCTCCACTGGCAAGCTGTTAATCTCCATCCCTTCGTACGAGTACTAGAAGTGGGAGAGGAAAAACAAAACAAAACAAAACAAAACCAAACTCAGAGAGTGCCTGGAGGTGGGGATGGGATGGGATGGGATGGGATGGGATGGGATGGGATGGGATGGGATGGGATGGGATGGGATGGGATGGGATGGGATGGGATGGGATGAGGCAAGAAGTGGTGCTGAGCATGGAGAACAAGAGAAATGGAGCTGTCACCCACCTCCCTAATCTGCAGCACCTGCCAGAATGCCACAGGATGCTCCCAAAGCTGTGGAGCTCCAATCATGCCCCTCACAAAGGCCCATCTATCCATTAGATGAACATTCATAGAATCCCAGAATAGGGATGGAAGGGAGCTTGAAGCTCACCCAGTGCCACCCCTTGCCATGGGCCCAGACACCTTCCACCATCCCAGGTTGCTCCAAGCCCCATCCAACCTGCCCTTGGACACTTCTAGGGATCCAGAGGCAGCCACAGCTTCTCTGGGCAACCAGAGAGTCACAGCCAATAATTCAATAATTCCTTCCTAATATTTGATCTGAACCTTTCTTCAACTTAAAGCCACACCCTCTTGTTCTGTCAGTCAGAAAAATATTCCTTGATATAAGTGTGTTCGCATGTGATGGGCTTTAACTTTGAAATCCATCTTTTGGCTGTTGAACACAACTTTGAAAAGTATTTTTCCAAGTTGGGTGCAACTTTGAGGTGTAAATTGCACATTCTGGGTCTTCCATCCAGCTGTGCCTCTGCTGGCTATTCCATAGGTGCTGAATGGGTAGGTGAGGTTATTTACACTAGGGATGTATTGAAGAACTCTTGGAAGCTGCGTAAAATCTCAAAATAAGGGAAACCCCCTGAAAAAGGGGGAAATGGAGCCAGTGTGTAATTATAGACCTGTCAGCCTAACTTGGCTTCCCAGAAAGAAAGTACATCAAATTATTAAACAATCAATTTATAAGCACCTGCGAGATGATAAGGTGATAAAAATCAGCCAGCACAGATTTGTCAAGAACAAATTGTGTCAACCCAATCTAATTTCCTTTTTGACAGGCTTAATGACTTTGTGGATAAAGGAGAGGCAGCAGATGTGATCTATCCTGATTTCAGGAGAGTGTTTGCTACTATCCTACAGCAGATCCCCATAAACAAACCACAGAAATATGACCTAAGAAAGGCCACCATAAGGTTTATGCAAAAACCATTAAACAAAAAAAAAAATCAGATAATTCCATGTCAAGCTGGGAGGGTGCTTCAAAAGGAATATTGTCCTGAGTCTGGCTTCACTCAGTATTTTCACTACTGACTTGGATGATTTTATGACACTGTTCTGGAGGGAGTGTAAGAACCTCCAACAGCAGGGTTAAGTATTCAAAACAAACTTGAGAAATTGTAGAACAGGGCCAAAATCAACTGAATGAAATTCAGTGCTGGCAAATGGGGACTATTTTTTTTAGTAGGAGCAATTGATGCAAGCAGCTCTGAAATTGGAGTGGCTGGGCAGTGCTGCAGGACAGGGTCTGGGGACTGCTGGAGATCAAGAACAGACTGTAAATCAACAATGCCATATTGCTGCCAAAACCCAAACAATTCTCCTCTGGGGATGGAGCAGATAGAGTTTGTTACATGTGTAAACCCCGGGAGACAATCACTTTTCCCTACTCAGAACCAGAAATGCTTCAGCTGGAGCAAGGAGTATCCAGTTTCCAGCAAGTATGTCTTAAAATGCTGCAAAAAAACTTCTGAGAGGGTTGGACAGATTTAAACAAACACTTGTCAGGGGTAGTCAAGGCACACAGAGGTGACCCTAAGGAAGGAAATGGAAGCTGTTCTCTGGAGGCCCTCTCCACGTGGTGCTGAGTGCTTTTTTCCACCTAGATTTTGATTTATCTCAAGCCAGTTCAGCCAGGGTTCACCCTGCTGCCCCTCAGGTCCCACTGCCCACGTCCATCAGCAGATTCCACCCAACACCTCACCAAAAGGCAAAAAGCCTCGTGGTGGGAGAGGAGATGGTTGATTAAAGGACAGAAAGGAGCAAGAAAGAAGGGGAGAAACATTTTGTGTCTGCTGCTATTGCTGAGCACAGTGCACAGTAGGATTTACTCTCCTGAGAGCAGGGATCTCCCACTGCACTGGGATCTACAGCAGGACAAAGCCCCACTTTGAAAGGAAAATATTTTCCCCACTACAAGGTGGGATATAACTCAGCAAGCTGGTTTGGGAGGGCCAAAAAAGTCACTGAAGAGTCCCCCATCCCTTAAACTCCTCTTGTGGTTATCCACAGAGATGCCAAAGCTCTGAGCTTTGCAGGTAGGTTTTCCTGGATCCATTAATTGCTGTATAATTGGGGAGTAAATGGTAACTGGTAATTTCTGTCCATTACAGCAGAGTGGGAGCTGCTTGCACAGTAACTCCTCTTTGCACAGACTAAACACAATTAGCCATTTATCTGCAAAACACTGTGATTATGATCCAGTTGTAGGGAATTGATGGGTATTTGTGGTTTCCATGGAGGTAAAGAGCAGCCTAGGTGAGCCAGGTCCCACCAGTCTCATTCAGGATTTGCATTTTTGTGACACTTTTGGGTGTCACTGCCAGCAAGATCCAAGGTGATGCAGAGTGGTTGGACTCGCACCACTGGCTGTTCCCATCTCTGAAGAGCTGGGAGCAAGGATGGGGAGACAGGAATGGGAAGGAGAGTGGTGAATAATGAAACTTCTGCCACTCAGGAACACCTGCTCTGCACAGCACTTTGAAAAGCTGATTGGAAATGGAAAATGGGATATATACAGAATAACTGGTCATCCTGAAGTCAGAAGATGAGTCTTAGAAAGGGCCTTAACAAAGCTTCATGTGTGTTTTGGGATTTGGGCTGCCAAGGGACAGGCAGCTGGAATCTCCTGGAGCCTTTCTTCCTATGGAAGATCCCAGTGCCAGCAGCAGAAGCTCAGCTGGGATTTTGGATCTGATCTGTCTGCAGCACCAGGGACAACCACATATTAGACTTTTTAACCCAGCAGGCTTGATCCAGACCTGGAAAGGGATGTGAGGGGATAAATCCCATGGAAGAGCTCTGAGGATGAAGCCAGCTGGGATGAGGATGCTCACACTGCCCCTGCCCAACCCCATCCGACACCGTGTGGGCTGCACGGCAGCGAAAGGAGAGATTTGCAAAGGAACCACGAGGAAATGCTCCATCCTCCTCAGACCACAGGAGCTGCTCACTCATCGTGACCCCTCTTCAAAGCCCACTGAACTCAACAGGAGTCTTTGAAAAGGACTCACTCAGCCATGACAATAAGATGGAAATGTGTTTTAGGGGAGAAAAAAGGGCTGGAGCATCGATCTCCAGGAGAGCAGAGCTTCCTGGACACTCCTGGGAAGTGCTCATACCATCAGGGCTTGTCTCGCCACTTTTCCCAGCACAGCTGCCTCCAACACAGGCAAGGCACCCCAGAAGATGTAAATCTCACCCCTAAGTCTGACCAGTCTGCATTCTAATCACAGTAATCTCATCAAAGCAGAAAATTATGGGCAATTTGGGAACCTGACTGAGAAGGAAAGGCTGTGCTGCCCGGAACACAGACTGGCTCTCTTCAGGAAATGCCAAAAAGCTACTAGGAGGAGTTGCTGTAAATCACAAGAGCAATGTTTGGAACTCACAAGTATCCTTTATTTTGCCTTTTAAACTCTCTATTAGCATCAGATACTCCCACAGTTTGTGCAAATCCATATCCCTGCCTGACCACCTGCAGCATCCTGCCCTTGGGTAATTTGGCTTGAGCACACTTAGGATGATAAATCCAGTGTGGTTTCATGGTATTTCCCCTTCGTACCTCAAACATGTCCAGTAGTGGGGAAACTTCTGCAGAATTTTAGTGTTGGTTTATCTGACACCACTTTTATGATTAGAGCTCACATCCAGGGATTGATTCCTGTACTTGGCTCTGCCACCAACCCCTTGCATGATCCTGTGGAAACCATTTAATCTTTCTTTCCCTCAATTTTCCAGCCACAAAAAGGCAGAAGACTTCTTGCTCACTGTCATTCTGTTTCCTTGAATCTTTTGCTTCCCAGATCTGGGACTGAATTTTTATAACTGGGTATCACCCAGGCCAACAGAGTCCATGTGATTATTGGGGTTTCTCTTCCATTTAAATTAAGCTAAATAATAATTAGATAAGTGGATGCACAAGGGTGACATGCCCAGTGGGAAGTTTGGAACTAGATGATCATTAAGATCCCTTCCAACCCAAACCATTCCTTGATTCTACAACTCACAGCTCTGTGCTTGTCTTTTGGCCACCCACAACTGTGTTTTCCCAGGATTTCTGTGAATAGCTCCTCATTTTTTTCTCAGCTCTGCTTTTTATTGGATTTTTTTTTTATCACTCCCTTCACTGTGAGCCACACCACGGAGTCAAATGCCACGGAGATCTCTTGCTGAAGTGAAATGATGTGACAAATAGAAGTGACTTGTTCTGCTGTCCCTAAGCCCCACAGTGCTTTCAGCTGCACCACCTCAGGTCTCACAGCACACAGAGCTGGGAAGGATTCAGGACAAAATCATCAGCAGGGATTTTGCTGGTGGGAACCAGGCTGTGCCAAGGCAGGGTGGGCAGGAAACAAGCAAGGATGTGGGACCAGCCACTGGAGCAGTGTCGAAGCCCACCCTCGGTCAGGGGTTCAGTGTGGTGGAAAAGTCTCTCCTCCAACCCGAGCTTCCCAAGAAAGGCTCAGCAGTCTCTGTTTTGGGTCTCAAGGCAGTTTATTGCAAGTTATCTAAAAGATTTTCTTCTGGGGCTGCTGTGGTTTGCTCAGAGCTCAGGCAGAGGCACACACACACCCTGACATCCTCTCTGACCCCGACTGCTTCTTCTCTCCCACCCAGGGCTGCTGCTGTCTTTGATATGGGACATTACGTGTGACATGTTTACAGTTTATCCCAATGCCTATTTCCTATATTAAATGGTGATTTTCTATCTTTTATATGGTACATTACGTGTTACATGTTTACAGTTTATCCCAATGCCTATTACCTATATTAAATGGTGATTTTCTATCTTTTATATGGTACATTACGTGTTACATGTTTACAGTTTATCCCAATGCCTATTTCCTATATTAAATGGTGATTTTCTATCTTTTATATGGTACATTACGTGTTACATGTTTACAGTTTTCCCCAATGCCTATTTCCTATATTAAATGGTGATTTTCTACTCTAAACCAATCTGTGAGTGCCAACATCACCAAGAACATGGAGGTGAGGAAGGAGAAAGAGGGAGGACAGGGCAGGCCCAAATCCCAAATCCATCTTAAACCTCTGACCCCCACGTACAAAACCAAAACCTCTCTGTACAGCACTCAAAAATTCTTCCCTCTACTCTGTGACTACTTCTACTCTAAAATCTAAACTTTTGTGACTTCTTGTTCTTCCTGCAAGGTTGGTAAATTGTTCCATGGCTCAAACCCAAAATCCCAGCTGTTTCCAGCTGCCTGCCAGGGTCTCAAATGTTTCCGACCTGGGCCTGGAATATCCAAAAATGTCTGAGGGACATTTTGAGTTCCCACAGAGCAGGTAATGGCACTGATCATGGCATGCTCAGGTGGGTCAGCCCTCCCCATCTCCCTCTTCCTCACACCAAAAGCTGATAATTCTGGGCTGATTGCAAGTGCTGGGGCTCCCATTGCTTCCCACTGGGAAGATTGCACTCTGCCCTGATACACCAGCAATTTCAGCCCTTCCTGCTGACATTTTTACTTACTTATTTATAGGTCTCCTTAGTTCCCTGCTTTTCATCCCCTCCCATCCCTCCACGTCCAGGCTGTTGGCAGAGCTATCACACGTGCAGTAAGGATTGGCAGGAAGGGTCCCTCTGAGTGATAATTGTGTGCCTTGGGTGGTGTGACAGAGGACAAAGCCCAGAGCTGAGAGACTCAAACCACTTGTCAAGAACAATAATTGTCCCGAATGGTGCTGCCTGCAGAGACTTATTGCTGTTATCAAATGAAATATCTCTGGGAGAGACAGGGAGAGAGGCAGATCTGGCTCCTGGCTGGGCTGAGCACCCAGGGATCATCAGTGCTGGATGTGGCATTACTGACAGACAGACTGCTCACACCTGGGGGTCCTTAGAGCATCTTTAACTGAAGTTGGAGCCACTTAGAAAAGGTGTTTAAGCTGGCTCTGATCCCTGGTGTAAATCTTGAGGGATCAGGAAAGGTAGAGCAAAAGTTAAGGCTCTTTCCCCGATTATATCCCATGTGAAAGTAGGAAAAATCCTGAGTTTTGCAGAAGTTTTTCTGCCAGAGGCAAACTTGAGCTCCTGGGTGCCTCGTGTGAGATGGGAGGGGGCAGATCTTGGGGTTCCTGCTGGGAAACAAGGCAGGACTGACTGCTTGGTCTGGCATGCAGCACCAACAGAAGGATCTGCTGGCAGGACAGCATCCCTTCAGGGACACACCATCACAGCACATCCTCCCACCCTCCCCTGGACCTTCTCCAAGCCTGCAATGCAGGTGCTACTTTCAGTGCCTCCTCCAGCAACTCTGCTGAGTAAAAAAATCTCTGTCAGAGGGGGTTGGTTCGATTTGCAAACAGGCTCAGACAGCTCTTTCCAAAGCCAGGTGACCCCCGGAGCAGAGGCTCATTGTGTTGCAGGGGCTCCTGCCTGAATGCTAATTCTGGCAGGGAAGGAAATAATCAGGATGGAGACAGATCTCCAGCACTCCTTCCCTATTGTCTGTGTCCTCTGCCACCTGCTCAAACAGCCAGGGCTTCTCTGCTGCCTTTTTGTATCCTTCTGAATGCTGCTTTCTTTTGTCTGTCTCTCCCTTCCACATCTCTTTCTCTCAGTGTCTGACAAATTCCAAGCAACAATGAAATAACATTTCTCAGGGAAAAAAAAAAGAAAAAGAAAGAAGAAAGACTTCAAATCAGAGAGTCAAAGCTCCTTTAAAAGGAAATGGAAGAAAAGGGGTGGAAAGGAAAGACAAGAGAAGGAAAGAGGAGGAAAGGAAAGACAAGGGAAGCAAAAAGAAGGAAAAAGGAGGAAAGTAAGGGAGAGGGAAAGGGGAAGGCAGAGGGAGAGAAGAAGCAGAAACAGGATAGAAAAGAGTTGATTTTGTTCCCAAATGAGCCTTTCTCCCTGGGGAAGAAAGAGATCCACCTGGGCCACCAGAAACCACAGGACAAGCACCCTGCAGCCAGCACTCAGCAGTAAGGTCATGGAGTGCCTTGGCACCAGCTTGAGGCTCAGCCCTGCCACCCTCTGCAGCTCTGGCAGAGCCTTGAGTGTTCTGGCTTAGCAAAACACACATTAAAGTCAAAATGGTGCAGCCACAGCACTCAGGCATCCTATGAGCAAATCCATCTGGGGACTCATCAAACCCCACTCCTCCAGTCCCAGGCACTGGCAATTTCATGGAGCAGGCAGGTAGTGTGGGAATAATCACCATTACCTGTCAAAACCAGTCTTTTATTGGGTTCTGCAAAGTGGGATGCTGGGGCTGGCTGAAGTTGCTTTCCTACTCAGCCCAACTATGCTTAAAATGTCCCTTAAATGAGATAATTCATTGGAATGCCTACGTGTATCAGAGAATTTGTGGCTCTAAAGGGTCATTAAAGGTCTGTCTTGCCTGCTAAGACTCTTTGGACTGGTATAATCTCTGCCCACAACCATACAATTCCTCCTTAGCTTCCACCATTTCAAAATAATACTTTAAAGGAAATGTGCATACCCTCTTAACTTCCCAATCTGTCCATTTTTAACCTGAAAGCTGAATGCTCACAGGTCATTAACCAGTAATGAAAATCAGGGAGAGATGGGAGGGAGGGAGACAAAGGAACAAATAAAAGAGCATCGGCTGGGAAGTTGCTTGTTTGCAACAGATGTAAAATGTGTGAACTGCCTGTAGTCTTCAGCCCTGCTTAATGCAGCAGAATATGTTGTGACAAGCACTGCCCAGCGTGGAGTGGCAGAGCTGCAGTGAAGTGGCTAAAGCCTGTAATTAGTTCTTTGACTAATAAATCATCTCACAGTAGCAGCAATGTAAACGACTCAATGCATATTCCTGGAGACATGGATCTGGTGGGGAAACCTCTGGAAAATCTCCACTGCACGTGGGCACAGCTCCTGGTTGCTGGCAGATGACTGGGTTTGTCCCCAAAAGTGGCCTTACTGTGGTGGCAGCACTGTCATGAGTCACACAGGTTCCTTGCAAGGAGAGTCACAGGTCCTGCACTTCAGCTGGGGAAGTGGAGGTGGGCAGAGAGGATGCTCAAAGGGCATGTGAGGGCTGGAGGAAGGTTTGACTCAGCCAAAAGCCAGGATTTGGATGGGATTTGGTGCAACCTGGTGCGGTGCAAGGTGTCCCTGCCCATGCAGGGGCTTGGAACTGGGTGATCTTCAAGGTCCATTTCAACCCAACCCATTCTGGCATTCTGTCTTCTCACCCTTTTTCTGACCCATTACATGCTGGCACGTGTCAGACTGTTTATATGGTGTTTTATCATCAAACTCCCCCAAAATAACCTTCACTCTCACATTGACATCATCACCTGTCCTCCTGGACCCCCTTTTTGTGGGGATATGAGCAGGTTAAGCTGATATTGCTGCCTGAGGTGCTCCAGCCCAGCCTCAGGACGGGATCCAGGGGCAGCAGCAACAACTGGTGGCACCAGCCAGCGCAAGGAGAAAAAAGGGCATTTTCAAGCTACCAGCCAACCTTTTCCTGCCTGTGTTTACAACCACAGAATCATGAAAGCTGGAAAAGGCCTCCAAGGTCATCAAGTCCAACCTTTGACTGAACACCCCCATGTCCACTAGACCATACTGTGAAATCCACACCTCGTTTGAACTCTTCCAGGGGTGGTTACTCCACCCCTACCTTCACCCTATTTCAATGTTTAACCACTCTTCCAATGAAGAAATTTATCTTAATATCCAACTTGAACCTCCTCTGGCACAACTTGAGGCCATTTCCCCTTGTCCTGTCAGTGGCTGCCTGGGAGAAAAGCCAGACCCCAACCTCACCACAACCTCCAGGTGGTTCTGGAGAGCAATAAAGTCTCCCTTGAGCTTTCTTTCCTCCAGAGCAAACATTTTAGGTAAGAAAGGCTGTGACACCACCCCAGATGCCCTGGGGACAGTGCTGTGGGCACGTGTGTCCCTTGCAGCTCACCGAGGTGTTCTGGCACTGCACGCTGGAGCTGTTGAACCTCAGGGCTGGCACCCTCTGCTCGCTGCCCTGGATGTTGAGGATGCACTCGTAGCCCCGCTGGCCCGACTGTGGCTGGGGCAGGTTCTTGGCCTTCAGCGTGATGGGTTTGATCACCTCCACGGGCACCAGGAGCTTCTCGGCCTGCAGCAGCTGGGGACAGTCCTGGGGAGAGAGCAGACACCTCACCAAGTCAGCACCTGCATTTCCCAGCTCAGGAAAAGTCTCGTGGTGCTTCCCAACCTTCTCAGTTTGCCTGATTACAAAGCCTTGGCAGCTCCCTGGGCCTTGGTTTCTTAGAATGGTTCTTACAGAGCTATTCAAGGAGCATCCCTGGGAAGGTTCAGATAAACAGGTGAGGAAGGATTGCTTTCACAGACCTTTCCTTTCCTATCTCCCTGGCTTATTTCAGCCTCCAGGACTCAGGGAGGCCATCTCTGGTGCTTTTTCATACCTGCTCTGTTTATTCAGGTAATAGAAAAGCAATCATGTTCTCTCCACAGATTTAACCCAGTCACAATACCATGATAAAAGTGAATAAAGCAAAAAGCTGAGCACAATTCTTCAGTTCCCAACAGCCAACACACCACTGTACAAAAGGCACAGCTCCAGCAAGACCTGTTGGAAACTATGGAGTCAGGGCTGTTAAAAAGAGAATTTATTTTGGCTCAGAAGAGGAAAAAATATTCATTACAGAGCTCTAGACCCAGCTGCCAAGAAACAACTGTCACAAAAAGCATGGAGATCCCTTGGGAAATCTTTCCACTGGCTCACAAGAGGAGAAATGCCAAGTGGCTGTTGCTAATGTGGTTCCTCTTCATGGGTTCCTCACACAGGTGAGTTCTGAGCACCCAAAGCTGCTTAGCAGGTGGCTGCATTTAAAGTTTCATTAATTAGCACAGCTTAATTAGTCAGAGTAGTCATGCTCTGGTTCTTCACAGCACAGTCAGATAACTGCAAGATGTCCCTTCCATGGGTTCTGGGGCAATATCAGCTCTTTAGGAAATTACTGCAGCCTTTGCCTGTCCTGTCCAAAATCAAAGACAGGTCCAGGTGGTTCTAGCAGAGACAGGGAATTGGAGGTGAGGGCAGGAGGAAAATTACTGATTTGGGGCAGAAAAGTAGGGAAAGGGACTGAAGGGTTCAAAAGTAGAATTTATGGCTCATTGAGAGCCTGGGATCTTTTCAGAGTAGAAGGTGGGAGCATCTTACTGAGGCAAAGAGCTGAGTGGGATAAAGCAATGGATGAGATGTGTGACACCTGTAGTTCCACCAGGCAGGGACAGAATTACAAGAGCCAACAATCATCACATGGAGGGTGTGAGCTCATCCCTGGCCAGGGGCAGGCAGAAAATCCAGTAACCACCCCATGCATCCCTGCAGTGAAGTCCAGAACCTTCCTCAGTCCCAAAGAGGATCTGGGGGTCTGTCCTAAGGGGGTGCCAGACCAAGGAGCCTGACGGATGATTTTTCATCCCCACTTACAGGGTGATGCTCATGGTGGAAGTAACTGAGAGCCAGTGATGGGCTTCAACTGGCCTTTCCCAGGCTGGCACCAGAACCAGGACAGCCACGCACGGCCACTGGAGCTGGGTGGAGCTGAACCACCTTGGATCCAGTGGCTCTTTGCCTAAAATAATCTGACACAAGGCCTGGCTTGATGTGTGCTGCCAAAGCCTAACAGGCCATCCCATTGAGCTGGCTGGAAGGAGGGAGGGCTGGAGGTGGAAAACCCATGGGGTACTGCAATGCAGGGATGAGCTTTATCACTGCACTCTTGGGGGTGGAGGATTGAGGAGCTACACCCTGTTCCAGCACTCCCTGCCCTCGCTGCTGCTCTGTTCTGTGATGGAGGCTCTCCAGGGAGCTCCTAATGCTGAAACACAATGGGTAAAGCGGCACTGAAGCATTTTTCTTGATAAAAGAGCAAGGCTTAATCATCTGGAAAGTCTTCCCAAGCTTGAGTTCAATGGTTCTACCATACCATGACACACCAGCATTAAGGCTCCCTGCTCAGCACAAGAAAGTTAGGCATAATCTATAATTCTGGCTGATTCAAGACCAATAAAAACCCCAGAGGGCAGAAGAAGGAGGTGATCTAGGCTATATTAGAGAGTTTTCAGTACTGATCACACCAGCAGATACCACATGCAAACACCATTTGGGTACCTTCAACACCCTTGACCCTTCCCCATCACCCACACAACATGTCCTGGGGCCTCTGCCTCAGCTCCTTCTCTTTTTCCTGGCACAAGGAACGACACTGGCAGCAGCTTTTCCTTGTTTTTTTTTCCTCCCCAGCTCCAGGGGTTGAGAGAGAGATGCACTGGCAGAGGGAATCAGTGGGGCAGGAGGGTGGGGAAGCCCTATCTGCCGCCGAGCAGCCGTTTCCCGGGAGCGGGCTCCTCACTTGATATGTGTCACAGAGAAAAGCCTCTGATGGGGGCTGTGGCATGGAGGCTGGAGATAGTCCACTCTGTTACCTGCAGGCCAATCCCAGCTCTTCAGCCTGGTCTTTCTTGTGTGCCTTTATCCTGTCCCCCTCCACCACTGGTGCTGTAACCTTTCCGATAACACTTGTTTCAAGTTCATTAACAAGCCCTGATTGAGGCAGCCCCAAAACAGGGTTCGTTTGCATATAAAAAGCTTTGCAGTGCTGTGAGGAAGTTCATTATAGATAATTGAAGAGGCAAGCGCCATAAAGAGGAAATCCTCCCAATGTGGCTTTATCTGATTGACCTAATGTTCTTTCTAATTGAAACGGGGAGGGGGAAAGGCAATTTCATTGGGTGATGTACTGCATAAAACCTCAGAGCTTGGACCAGGCTCTGGGTTCAGATTCAAACACAGAACTCATTTTGCAGCCTGTGTCAAGCTTTGGGTGCCTGGCCAGGTTTGTATTTTTGAGGGTAAAACATCAAGCTGACCTGAGTAGAGCCAAGCAGAAGGCTTTGTGAGAAAGAGTTATTTTGGACATTTTCAGTGGAGACACTTTCTTTTCACCCTTCTCCTTTGCTGTGGACATCACCCAGGTTGGAAAAACACAGTTTTCACAGCATGTAAGGGAAATAAAATCGTAGACTGCCAAAAACTGCACCAGGGACAGGCAAAATCCCATCCCCTTTTTCCTTTGGTATATAATAAATTAAATCTTTTGCCTGACTCTAAGGGGAGCTGGTTCTCAATCCAGAGAATCATTGTTGATTCATTCTGTGTGTGTAGCTCCATTCCAGTTCTTGAATGCTTTCAAATGAGTCAGTCCATTTAAAATAATATCCTTCACCCTTGCCAATTACTGGTATCAGCAGTGATGCACACCTCACATCACCAAAATTTTGCCAATTACCAAGTCAGAGAGCTTTTGCAGTGAAAACACTGCACGAAATGAGCTGTACTCATTGGGTCGATGGTAGTTTAATTTTCTTTATTTATAACTCCTCATAGAGTGCCTGCAAATGTGTTTTGTTGTGGCTTGCAGGAATAATAAAAGTCTCAGAAATATGAGGACCTTTTCTCTCACATGTGTATTATGGCTTCCATCAGAACTGAGCCCAAGCTGGTCTCCAGTGAGAGCCATCGTGAGGATGCTGCTGAAGAGGATGAGGAGGCTTCTCTGAGGCCATGTGGTCTTAGCTCTGAAATAATTATTTTGGTTTCTTTGGGGTGCTTCATACCTCCAGAGTTATGATCCCATGGAGGTTTCACTGTGCTTTCCCCAGTATAGGCTGGAGACTGATCAAATACCCCGAGTTTCTCTCCTAGGAAAAGCCATGTAAGGATGTTTCACAGCCTTAGGATATTGCACAGGGTTCAGTGGTTCTACCATGCATGGAACACCAGCACTAAGGCTCCCTGCAGCTACTCAGCACAAGAAAGTGAGGCATAATCAATAATTCTGGCTGATGTAAGACCAATAAAAACCCCAGAGGGCAGAAGAACCTTTCCAGCTTTTCCTTCATCCTCCTCCCTCATGATCCCTGGCAGCATTAGCTGGATCTCCACTTTCTGTGGAAGGAAAGTAAAGCTCACCTAGGGCTGAGGGCACTGGGGGCACCACTGCCCAGGTAAACTCCACCCTTGGCAATGGGTTTTCACCTTCCCTTTCCCAGAAGAGTAGAAGTCACCTCCATTCAGGAACAGACCACTAATTCCTTCATTGCTCCTTCTTTACTTCATTCCAGCACTACTTCCATCATGACTCAAAGCATCCAGTTCCTCTTTTCTTCTGCCATTAAAATCCATTTCTTTATCCTCAACTTTACAGGGTTTTTTTTTTAAGACTTTCAATATCCCTCATCTTTGTGCAACCATCTTTGTGGCTTATCCAAGGCATCCTGCCTGAAAAAAGAATGACCACACAGTGAATCTAAGCAGTGACCAAGATTGACTCACTCAGGCCCTTTGGGGAATGAAACTCAGAATGTTATTTACTCAGATATTACGTAAATAAATCCATCTTTTGTTCATCTGCTCTGCCGAGCTGCAATGTTCTGTTTTCTCTGTGTTCCCTCTGGCTTTTACCCACCCACTCTGCTGTAATCAAGTCAAGAGGGTAAGAGTTGAGAGGCAGGGATTGGGTTTTTTATAGAGATATCTAGACCACAGCATCTGGATGCTCTGTAAATTAAAGTAGATTTTAAAAAAAATAACATCAAAATGAAAACAGAACAAGGAAGGCAAAAGAAAAGGAAAGCAAGGAATGAGAAAAAGGAGAGGGAAAACAGGCAAAAGAGAGGCAAAAAACCCTTAACCTTCCAGTGACTTTGGAGAAATCAGATTTCACCTGGCTAAAACACAGGAAAAAAGTAAGTTTACAAATGAGAGGCAGCAAGGACTGCCTGGAATTTGTTTCCTGAAGTTGTCTCTCACACCTCTGCACAGTCACACGGGGTCACCCCCTGTACTGCTGCAAACCCAGGGCTCCAGGGCTGCCAAGCTGGTTCCTTTTAAACTCCTGCACAGCTTCCCAGATCCTGGATCATCTGGAGAATGAAGCAGCAAGGAGCTCTCCATCCCCAGTGCAGGAGGAGAAGGGGTGAGTTACAGTCCATGCCATGTTTACATTATTATACCACTAATTCTTAATGTCGTAAAAATTATATTTAAAATTTACACAAACGGTGCTGGGGAACGTTATTATGTTATAAAGTGGAATCAGGTCAATG